GTATATTTATACTTAATGCATAAGATAGTAGTAATGAAGCCCAGGAATCCGCAATTTCCGAATATAATAGACTTAGATTTTTTATCATCCAGACTTGTCAAAATTTGTTATATCAAAGCCTCTGAAAAAAGCCCACAGTGACAGAGAGTGGGCTTTTAAGAAGTTCTTAGCTGACACACAAGAAATAGTACAAGAAAAGGGCAAAAGAAGAAATATTTACAAAAAGAAATGAGATCCCATCAAAAACATACTGTAAAAATATTGCAAGTCTCGCAACGCATCTCTCTACCGCAAAAAGCTATGAGATATAATGTAAAACCAAGTCGGTTAATTTATTCATTACCTATCTATGGAAGCATCTATCCGACAACTTTGTCATAAATCGTTACCGAATTAGTTAAGTTACAACATTTTATAGTGACCGTATTAATATTAGATATATTTATTTCTTTAATTAATAGAATGACTTGGCCATCGCACATGATAACAGAACCTACCAATAACAAAATTTACCTAATATAAACGTTCTGAGTGCATTATTTATGTATTGTTTGTGTATGCATCAATTTGACCCGCTAGTACTATGTTCCGTTCATTTTAGCCCAAACACGTCCACAGCTGGGCATAGGCCTCCCCCAAAAATTTCCACGACAACCAGTCTTGTGCCATCCGCATCCAGTGGGCTCCAGCGACTTTGACCAAGTCGTCAGTCCACCTTGGTCATGGTATTTTTAATTAGGACTATTTAAAGTAGTAGACTCTTATGTGATTATGTTTCCGTGCGATGGCCAAGTCATTCTATTAATTAAAGAAATAAATATATCTAATATTAATACGGTCACTATAAAATGTTGTAACTTAACTAATTCGGTAACGATTTATGACAAAGTTGTCGGATAGATGCTTCCATAGATAGGTAATGAATAAATTAACCGACTTGGTTTTACATTATATCTCATAGCTTTTTGCGGTAGAGAGATGCGTTGCGAGACTTGCAATATTTTTACAGTATGTTTTTGATGGGATTAAATTTAACTTTAATATGTATACGACTTGATGGTACGTTTTCTCTATTAAAAACTAGATATAATGGGTGATTAGATACGGACTCAAAATGAAATTGATAATTTTAAAATAGCACGCACATTTGAATGTGACTGTTCAGAACTAACAAAATATATACATATAAAAAGTAATGACTTTACCGTTGTTTCTCAAAATATAAGAAGTATTTCATGTAATTTTGACAGTTTTATAGTATCTTTATCGAAATTTAAGTTCGAACCAGATGTTATTCTTCTGACGGAGTGTAGATTAAGTCCTGAAAAACCAATTCCACAACTTAAGAATTATTCCTCTTTGTATACAACTTGTCATTTGAATCAAAATGATGGTGTTGTCGTATATATAAAAAATAATTTAAAATGTAAAGTAAGAGAAATAAAATTGTCCCTAGCATCATGCATACAAATTGATATCCTAAATAACATAATTTTATGTATCTATCGATCCCCATCGAACATAAATGCTGACAGTTTTATATTCTCTCTTAATACTCACCTAGATAAGCTAAAGTCACAAAAAATATTATCATAGCAGGTGACATAAAAATTAACTTAAAACCTGGGGAATCAACATCATCATATGAGAACACTAACAGAAATAATTATCTCAACATGTTGTCACTCCACGGTATATTGCCTGGACATACTTTGGCGACTAGAGATACAAATTGCTTAGACCATTTTATGCTTAAGATTAATAAACAAAAAATATCGGCTTCAATTGCTATCTTACACACTAGTATCACCGATCACTACACAACTCTTTTATCATTATCCAAACTAAATAATATATATACTGCCAGTAAAATTAAATCAACTATAAATTTTGAAGAAGCTTATAAATACCTATTAGATAATAATCATGCTAACCTTTTTTTCTGCGACAACCCGGAGTCTCTTGCTAACCTTTTAATACACAAACTAACTGAATCAATTAATAAAAATACAGTCCATCTTAAAATTCCAAATAGTAAACGCATAATAAAACCTTGGATTAGTCCAGGTATTCTTCGTTGTATAAATAACCGCAATAAATTACAAAAAAAACTTAAACACGACCCTTATAAATGAATTATTAAAAATAGCATATATAAGATACAGAAACCATTGCAACAATCTAATAAAAAAATTAAAACGGAAGTATGAGACAGTATTAATTATTAATAATATTTCTAATAAGAAAAAACTTTGGGATAATCTAAAAACAATATCTTACTCTAACCGAAAAAATAATTATAGTGAAGAATTATTAAGTATAAGATCATCACCTCTAGAATCCGTTAACTACATTAATAATTATTTCGCGAACATCGGAAAAGATCTTACACAAAAAATACAGCCATGTCACTCTGCCTCCAATGACGACCATTATACATTGCCACCTTCACAACCTAATTCCTTCGTTCTGCTAGATGCAGATGAAGATGAAGTGAATCGTGTCTTAATGAGTCTTAAATCTGATAGTGCGTCTGGTTGGGATAATGTACCAACACGATTTCTTAAATATATAAGAAAGGATATCGTTACTTTATTAACCTTGTTAACCTCTGCTTTAGAAAAGGTATTTTTCCTAGTCCTCTAAAGCAAGCTATTATTACGCCTGTTCATAAAGGTGGGGACAGAGACGACATAACAAATTATAGACCTATTTTAGTATTACCCTCAATATCCAAAATAATAGAAAAACTTATTAATATTAGGCTTTTAACATACCTTAAAGATTATAATATCATCTCAAAATCACAATATGGATTTCGTCAGGGCATTTCCACCGAGCACGCAGTAACTGCACTAACTAAAATTGTAACAGAACAATTAGACAACGGTAAACCGTGTCTAACTGTATTCCTTGATCTAAAAAAAGCTTTTGATACTGTCTCTGTCCAAATCCTTGTAAAAAAGCTTGAACATATTGGGGTACGTGGAATTCCACTACAGCTCTTAAATGACTACCTCTCAAATAGGAAGCAGAAAGTTAGGGTTACTCATTACACAAGTGAATATACAGACGTATCATATGGTGTTCCGCAAGGCAGTGTCCTGGGACCTACTCTGTTTGTCATCTATGTAAACCAGCTCTGTAATATACAACTAACAAATACTAAGGTATTCTCATATGCTGATGATACAGCTCTAGTCTTTACGGGTAATTCTTAGCACGAGGTACGGCTTAATGCCGAAATAGGGTTGGCTAAAGTAGCCAGGTGGTTGTCTAAGAACCTACTCACACTGAACATTTCTAAAACAAATTATATATGCTTTAGCATATGTAAACGTAAACAACCTAGAGAAGATTTCAATATAAAAATACATCTGTGTAATAATGATAAAAGCACTACCTGCAGTTGCTTAAATATAACGAGGGTTCCATGTGCTAAGTATTTGGGTGTTTTCATTGACCAGAGATTATCTTGGCATTCTCAAATCGATCATGTGGCAAACAGAGTCAGAAAATTGAGCTGGATGTTTCGGTCCCTAAGACACATAGTCCCTAAACAAGTTTTTAGCAGCTCATCTCGCCCCAGGAATCTCTTGAATGAAATATATTTTGCCTTAGTACAATCAGTGCTATCATATTGTATCCCGATTTGGGGCGGAGCTGCTAAAACGAAGTTTATTGAACTTGAGAGAGCACAACGTGCTCTAATAAAATGTATGTATTTTAAAAAACTTACATTTCCAACTGGGAATCTGTACCAAGTTAGCACACTGCTCTCAGTTAGAAAGCTGTATATTACTCAAACTATACTAAAAGTACATAAGGCTGTTTCCTATGATGCGTCTTTAACATTAAAAAGAAGGAAAGAAAACATAATTAAAATCCCACAAACAAGAACAACATTTGCGTCAATGCAATTCGATAAAAGATCTGCACAATTATATAATAAAATTAACAGTATCATTTATGTTTACCCCTACAATTACCATAAATGCAAAAAGACATTAATAGATTGGATAAAAACCCTTAGTTACAATGATACGGAAAAACTGTTAGAACATATTCATTAAATACTCACACACGCACACACACGCACATACACACACACACACACACACACACGCGCACACTCACACACACACACACACACACGCGCGCACGCACATACACACACGCACACTCACACACAATACACAAACAAATATATGTACGCTAATTTTTATTTTTTGTTTGTCTTAATTGATCTATTTAAGTTTGTAGTATCACCGATAATATTATAATCAGCTAAAAGATAAAATTACTTTTTTATGAAAGGGCGGGGTCTCCTAATACAGGCAAATTATTTGCTTAAAAGGGGATCTCAACCACAAAATTTGAAATTTTGATTAGATTTGAAATAAATAAATAAATTTTAAATTAATCAATTAATTATATGTTAATTTTTATTTCAAATGTAAATGTATATTGTTATCTAATTTATAGTTTTTATTGTTGTTGTTATAATAAAATAAAAATCAGCATGTTGATGACTGAGACATTTTAATGTAGTTATCAAACATATTATTCACAATATTATTGGCAAAGTTGCATCATATTATAATTTTGACACCTAATATACTATAAACCACAGAATTAATTATCGCACGAGATGGATATTTATTCATGCCGAAGCGAAGCGAGGTTGAGTCATAAGTCTATACATATAATAAAATTCTAACTGATTGTGAGCCGAATCTGTATATTTAAATATTTTTTGGAAAATCTTATTGAAATAGTCATTATTATCGATACAAGAGGTCGAATCTATAGTTTTTAGAATTTTTGTGTCTGCCTGTCTGTTCGGGAATGTATCACGAGAAACCCACTGGATAGATTTTTATGAAATTTGTGGTGATGATTGCTGGTTATCCAGGTCCACATGTAAGGTACTTTTTACGGCAAAATACCTCATTTATGAGTCGCTAGTAATATATAATTTTAATGTTTTTATTTAACAGATAGTATTGCAAAACCCAAGACATCGCGTGATGGTGTGCACGGACTCCAACATGGCGGCCGACCACGTAGCGCTTGCTTTAATAGAGTACAATAAGAAACTAAATATATCTAACTTCTTGCTTCGCGCTAACTCTCAGAACCGAGAATGGTAAGATATATTTAACTATATATTATTGTTATTATTATATTTCATATGCTTGTTACATCCAGATTTCTACTCCAAAAGGTGGATAAATCCTTTATGGGTCTGAGTATGATGATGTTCTCCTAGCCGATTCCGGCCATGGCGGCCAATCTCATTGAGACTAGCCAACTGCGCAGGAGATATTATGGTCCCCCCCAACGTGCGTTTACCTTGTCGTGGTGGGGTGGCTCAGTAGTGCCCGGCAACCCAACCGGGCGCGAAGCCAAGAAACGCACAGGGAGGTGGCCCACTTCGGTGGGCGGTGGGAGGTGGCCTCTTTGGAGGGCGGTGTACCATGCGGGTTGCTCCTGGTACTTCTCTGATAGCAGAGTGGACCTTGGAGCAACCCCGTGGTTGTTGTGGTCTGCTTCGGCAGACCTGCCGTCGGGGCGTCGTAGTTGAATGCGTAAGCGATCCTGCGACGCCCCATTAAGGCGGTGGAAGGCTTTGTTGGGTTTTAGTGGGTAGTACTGGCTTTGCCGGTGAGTCCCACACCTCGTGCGTAAATGCATTTCCCAACGTTAAAAAAAAAACGGACATATTATGGTGCACAAGTGTACGCGCAGACACAAGTGCACTCTCTATTCCTGTCACTCTCATACTCCGGTGGGACGACGCGAGACACGACCGGTGAGAGTTAAGGCGCAGGACCGACGGCTTTACGTGCTCTCCGAGGCACGGGGGTGAAATATCGCCAACTTCCCAACTCCGGGCTGTTACTGAGGCTTACTATACAGAAAGACTCAATAACTAAACTTGGCCCGACCCGGGACTCGAACCCAGGACCTCCGAGTATGCAGCCGTACATGCTAGCCACTTCACCACAGAGGCAGTTAGGGTCTGAGTATACACATATACATATAATAAGATTATATTAAAATTCCACAAACTGTCCTTTTTAAAAGATTTACCTTTTCAAAAATTTAAAGATAAATTTTGTTGAGCAAAGCATATTACTCTGTTCAAGAGTTTCTTGTAGTATCCGGTTTATCTATAACATTATGTTTATTAATGTAACTTTGATATTTAAAAAAGCAACGGTCGAGTTTCTCGCCGACTCTTTTCAGCATTCCGAGTCGGCGGTAGCTTTCCTCACGGACTAACTGACACTGACGCTCTTTAAATTAAACTGACTATTCAAAAGTGCTTATAATAATCTATTTCAATACATGAAGTTTCATTACATAACTTCGACGACACGTTTGGCTCAGTTTGTAGTGACCCTACTTGCTGTGCGAGCAGTCGCAGGTTCGAATCCCGCTGGAGGCATTCATTTGTGTGATGAGCACGAATGTTTGTACTCCGTCATGGACGTTTATATTTATAATATGTATGTATTTAAAGTTATATATGTGTAGTGTATCAACTATCTGGTATCCATAATACAAGCCTCGTAGCTTACCATGGAACTGGATTGTGATGTGTTTTAATGTCATAACATAGTTATTGATTATAACTCTGTTTTTAACATAATAAAATAGTAAGCTAAACTATTTTTATTTTTTGTTTTCAACAATATATCTGCAAGAATTAAAATGACGGTACATAATATAATGTGTCTAATGAATGTTCATTAGACATCAAATATGATTAAATAGTAGGGATGGGCAGAAATTAGTTTTACATTCGGTTTAACCGAATTTTGGCAGCTTGAGCCGAACTTCGGCATTTGGCCGAAATTAGTTTACAATGCCGAATATTTGGCACTAGAAAAAAAATACCTACCTGCACTATTTTCACTGAAATTAATTAGAAAGCATGTCAGTCATAACAGTAAAAAAATAAGTTTTTTATATACGCATGATCAATTTTATTTGAGTTTAAAAACATCAACTTTAACTCGATAAAAAAATAAATTAAATTAGTCTTATTAATTTAACAATCTTGAAAACCTTTGCCTGTTTAAATAGACAAAATGAAATACACTAAGTATAGAAGTAACAAACATCTTAATTATAATTTGTAAATTGAATAAAAGAATCATGTTTTTGGTTTATAAACTAAACACTCAGAAGCATAGTATTTTTAATTATTAAAAGGTCACGTGTCACTCGAGAAAGCGCTGCGAAATTGAACCGAAGTTTGGCCGATTTTTTTATTTTCACCGAGTGTTCGGCTGAAGCTCGTATTCGGTTTAAGCCACATTCGGCCCATCTCTATTAATTAGATAAATGCTTTATTGCCAAACATAAAGGCATTACGTATAAAATCAAAGGTGGAAATGCTAATACATGTATATATATATATACAGGAGCGTGATGCCGGCCGCGCTCGCGCCGGTGTCCAACGGCACGAGCTACGACAACTTCTATCCAGTGAGCAACGTGCACGTCGCAGTCTACCGCATCTTCGTCACCACGCTCTTACACGCCGCCAAATATGGATCGTGAGTTTTATTATATTTATCTACTAGCGGCTCACCCTCGCTTCGCTCGGGTTCGTCGCTAGGTACGTTTTAAATAGATATAAAAAGAAAAAATCTTTCTTTCTCACATTTTAATTATATGTTTTAATACTTACCTATTCCGGACTAAGAGAAATCCAAAAATTAAAATATCATAAAAATTGGAACGCGGTCGAACGGGATAAAAAGTATCCTATGTCCTTCTCCTGGCTCTAAACTACCTCCCTGCCAATTTTCAGCTAAATCGGTTCAGCCGTTCTTGAGTTATAAGCGAAGTAACTAACACGACTTTCTTTTATATATATAGATTGCGGCCAGTTTACAATACAATAACTACAAAAAGACAATTTTATTGAAGAATGAAAAATAAAATAAATCTTAGTATTGACAACTTAAAATGTCCCATATAATTCAGGTTGCCTAAATGTATATATATAGCCCGAAGCGAGCGACCAAAAATTGCAAGCATTTTCTAAGGGCAATTTTTTTAATATTACGTTACATTGGTGAAGTAATAAAGAAATAGCCTGCCGTTAGTCACTTGGTTTCATTAGCGTTTGGCGCGGGGGCGGCTTTAATTCAATAAAAAAAAACTATATTCCTCGTAACTACTTCTGCTTAAAACCTGAAAATTAATTTGCGACTATTATACGTAGGTCACTACTTAAGTTTTGTCGTACATAAAATATATGTAAGGTATTGTTAAGATACGGATAGATTCATAAAGGCAAACTAATATAAATAATAATAGTACAAGTTTTGTGACGTACAGTAGCTCTATTTATTGCGATTTTTTGAAAATTAAACATGACTGAATTTACTCGTCGCGACGTTCGTGTAAAATTTTATATAATTTTAAGCGTGGCTTAACTAAGCACAATGTTTTGAAGAAATGTGTGATTCATTAGGTCTTACTTGTCCTTCTCTAAGGACTATAGAAAGGTGGCTTATTCAGTTTATTCGCGATAATTTTAACTTGTAGGACGATTCGAGGTCGGATAGGTCAATAAAAGTTACTACCTCTAAAAACGTTGAGGTAGTGCGAAAACTAATTAAAGGAGACCGGCATGTGTCGTATCGACAGATCGAGGAAATCCTAAATTTAAGTGCAACGACTGTTTATCTAATTCTTCATGATAATTTAAAAGTTAGGAAACTCTGTACACTCTGGGTACCGCATTCGATAACTGACGAGCTGAGGGAACAACGTATGAATTGGTGTCATGAAATGTTAAAAAATTTAATGGCGGTCGATCTAAGTACTTCAATTTAATCGTTACATGTGACGAAACTTGGCTTTACTGTTTTGATGTCCCAACTAAATCCCAGAGTAAAGTGTGGGTGTTTCAAGATGAAGACCCGCCGACGTCTGTCAAAATGTCTCGATCAATTAAAAAAAGAATAGTAGCAGTATTTTTCTCAAAAATACGGAAAATTATCTACCATCTTGCTTGATAAACAGAAGACTGTTACTGCAAAATGGTACACGGAAGAATGCTTGCCTCGAGTTTTAGAAGTGTTGAAAAACGAGCGACCAAACTCAAGACTCGTCACTTGGTGTTTGCATCAAGACAACGCTCCCGCACATCGGGCTGGCAAAACTACAGATTATTTGCGTGAAGCTGGAGTGAAATTACTGGGACATCTTCCTTACAGTCCAGACTTAGCGCCATGTGATATTGCGCTTTTTCCTTATGTGAAAAAACAATTAAAAGGGCGTAAGTTCTCTAAACATGAAGAGCTTATAGGCGCATTTGAGGAGATATGCGGTGGTGTTCCAAATGGTTTCTAGAGCGAAGTATTTATTACATGGTTCGAACGTATGAGAGCATGTATTAGTGCTAATGTGAAAAAAAGTGTAAAAAAATACTTAAAAAAATACGACAAAACTTATGTAGTGACGTAGTATTAATTAAAAATAAATCGTCAGTCGTGAAAATCTTTTAACCGCGTCAGTCATGAGTTAAAGTTGTAAAAATCGGTTGTGTCGTCACTACACGAAATTCATAACGATAAGTGACTCAGATTAAAATAGTAATTATTTACATAGGTAAGATGAGTTGTTGTGGGTTCTATTATAATACCCGCATATCTCCCTCAGTAAAAAGTGCTTTCGAGCCTTCCAACTATCTCCTCACAAAAAGCACGTCAATCTGTCACTGGGTTTTGACGTGAAAGAAGAACAAACAAACACACTTTCACACTTCTAATATTATAGTCTGTCTATTCAATACTAACCGTTAAATTATAATTTAAACAACTCTTACATAATATATAATAGAGTACGAAGCCAGTCCATGCACAAGTACAACGTGACGCACCTGTTCATCGACGAGGCGGCGCAGGCGTCGGAGCCGGCGTGCCTGGTGCCGGTGGCGGCGCTGCTGGCGCCCGCCGGCCGCCTTGTGCTGGCCGGCGACCCGAAGCAGCTCGGCCCCGTCTGTATCTCCAAGGAGGCTCACCAGAGGGGGTTGGGTGAGTATTCATCACTTGTATTTTCTTACCAGTCTGTATGTCCAAGAGAACTCAGCAGAGGGGGCTGCGTGAGTCTATTCATCACCTATCTACCGGTTTGTATGTTCAAGGAGGTTCACCAGAGGTAATTGGGTGATGACTTGTTTTTGCCTACGAGTTTGTATCCCTAAGGAAGCTCACGGGAGAGAATTGGGTGAGATAGTGTTTTCATGACGAGTATTTTCTCCAAGTATCTCCAAGGAAACTTATTAGAAAGGATTAGATGAGTCAGTGTGTTCTTGACTAGGATTTCGCTCCGGCCTCGCGTCATGCATCCATACATCTATATACTTGGCAGGATTTCTGCCAAAACCGACCAAACTGTCTTCGAAATTTAAAGCTTGATCAGATACTAAACTTGTACATAAATAATTATGTATTTTAACTTGTCACATGTGATATCGGATAAGGAACAAATACTTAGAACATGGAATCTAATAATATTGTAAATAAAACTATTTTTTCGAATTTTATCACGGTTTAAGTTAGATTTTTTGTTCCCGACGACATTTCAAATGCGTTGCAGAAAATAAGGTTTCGCTTTTTAAATTTATATTAAAAACGCTATTTTCCACAAATAAAATATTTTTATAATTATTATTAGAGCATTTTTGTATCTGCCCCTATGCTCTCAATGTCATACAGCGCCATCTCGTAAATTTTTGTGTTACTTGCATTTTCGCCAATGGATGAGAACCTACTGAACGATCGCCTACGCCGAGCGAAACTCAGTCTTCCGGGTTCTATTATTTTAAACATATCAAAACAGTAGGTATAATATAATAAATAATCGCTATTTTCTACATTCTTCAACAAGGATCAAAAATTATTTGTATATTTTCTTTTGCAGGTCAATCACTGCTGGAGCGTTTGAAGCAAACTTATGAAAATCTATATACAGATTCGAACTTTATAACAATGTTGGTCAAAAACTTCCGCTCTGATCCAGATATATTGGCCATCCCCAATGAATTATCTTACGAAAATTGCCTTCAAGTAAATAAACTATATTTTATCATATAACTTATTAATAAGATATATTTTATAATATTTTCTAATCACAATGTGATATGATTGCATTACATATATGTACCACATTTTATTGGCAATCTCAAAATCGCTTTCAACGTATTTTCATATATTCTTTTGCAAAGCTTCAATTATAAAAATATTAAATAGTTATAAATAATAATGTGAAATATAATTAAAGGCTTGCGCTCCTCCGGATCCTTTGAGTAAAGTGAGCATACTGGGTTTGGAGGGCGGCGAACGCGCCGTCGTGTTCCACTCGGTGAACTCGCGCGAGCAACGCATGGGAGACGCACCCAGGTAATTGATGTTGTTCTATTATACCGTCGTGGAACTGGTCATTAGGGCTGCAGCAGTGGTTTTTCATATCATTCTATCTTTAGTTACTACATCAGAATAACACATTTTATCCTTTTTATCCCGAAAAAATGTACGGTTCCCGTGGGATAGATTTATTTTTGTTTTTTAGAGGCGAACCCGAGAGAAGCAAGGGTGAGCCACTAGTTATTATTATTTATAATAGCCTTTTATTTTTTTCATCTTTCATACATAATGTCACATCCTTTTTTTATAATTATTTTTATTAATCAACAAGAACTTTTTTCAGTTATTTTAATCAAGGAGAACTGGAAATGGTAAAAAGATATACCAAAGCATTGATTGAAGTACATAAAGTGGACCAAATAGATATTGGTATCATCGCACCCTATATTAGACAGGTATTTAAAAAAATACATGATAAGCAAATTGTAAAGTTATTTGAAAAATGTAAGTAGCAAAATACATGCTTTGCATTGCCACTTGCAATACATTTTTTATTTATAACAAATTATTATTTAATTTCCTTAAAAATATAAAGGAAGGGTATCGATAAGGCCTCATTTCCGGTCCAGATTAATGAAAAAAAATTATGTCGTGTGATTTGATCTTTTCTCTACATAATCTGAAAGTAGACTGTGTATAAGAGAAAAAAACTAACTTTAATACTGCACTGTAATCTATACATATAATAAAATTGTAACTAAGTCGAATCTGTACATTAAATATTTAAAAAAAATTCTTATTGAAATAGACATTATTATGGATACAGAGGCCGAATCTACAATTTTTAGAATTTTTGTTAGTCTGTCTGTCTGTTACCGCATCACAGAAAAAAAACTGGAGGGATTTTGATGAAATTTGGTATGGTCATAGCTGATTATCCAGGTCAACATACGGGATATTTTTTATTGCGGGAAACTCATTTCTGAGAAAAAATACAAAAACTGGTTAGAATAAAATTGGTATATATAAAAGTAGGTATACTAATCTAATAAAATCTGAACGCGGGCGAAGCCGCGGGCAATGCTAGTTTTGAAATATATTGTGTAGTTACATAAGAACATTAAGATAAAATGAAACAGAAAGTGCTTTTTATATGCACTCTATACAAAAAAAGTTGAAATGTTACTGAAAATGTCTCGTTTTGAACGAAAATCCCAGTGAGACCAAAGTCTGGGGACTCACAAGTAGTATTCATTGAAATTTTTTTCTGTCATAAATATATTTTCTTATCAGGCACACAGTCTACTTTCAGAATATGTAAGGAAAATATGAAATCGTATGACAACTTTTTTCATTATTCGGGATCGGAAATGAGGTCTTATCAACACCCTTTACAGCAATTTTTTTTATTTCTATTTATTTTTGTATTTTATTCAAAAAATCTTTTTAAGTATAGATAACCAGACATATTACAAGAGCAAAGAAGGCCATTGTATTATATAAAATCTATTACATTGTAGGTGTACAAAATAAAAGGTTGGCTTATGAACGAGAACTACACGGACGTGATGGTGGGTACGGTGGAGTCCATGCAAGGGAAAGAGAGGAGAGTCATCATAGTGTCGACCGTGCGCGCCAACTGCAGGCTCCTGGACTATGACGCTAAATATAGTCTGGGCTTCTTAGTGGATGACAAGGTAGATAAATATGACTTCTACACTATCATAATATCCATAATCTATACATATAATAAAATTCTGAGTCTAATCTGTATATTAAATATTTTTTGGAAAATCTTATTGAAATAGTAGTAATTATAATCGATACAGAGGCCGAATCTATAGTTATTCGAATTTTTGTCTGTCTGTCTGTCTGTCTGTCTGTCTATCTGTCTATCTATCTGTCTATCTGTTACCGCATCACGAGAAAACCACTGGACAGATTTTGATGAAATTTGGTATGATGATAGCTGGTTATCCGGGTCAACATATAGGATACTTTTTACTGCGGAAAAATATCTCATCTCTGAGAAATCTATACTAAACGTTGAAACGTGACTAGGGACGAACTCGAGCGGAGCGAGGGTGAGTCGCTAGTAATATTATAAATGCTATAATAACTCTGCCTGTTTGTCTTACCTTTTCATTCTTAATCTGATTTAGATGAAATTCGGTATGGAGATAGTTTTAGTCCATGGAAAGGACACAGTTGTAATAGGGGGTGAGAGATTGTATGGGGAATCAATCATTTCTGTATATACATATAGTCTATCAGTTTCACTAGTAGGAAGCTACATTACCACTGAGTGCTTGCCATTTGTTATTCCGATAAGAATGTGTACCGTCAGAAATCATAATAACTTTTATTGAAGTCGTCAAAACACTGTCTGTTGGGTTTGTGCTGATACGTAACGTTTAGAATATATGGCAAATAGACCTCTAGGGTCTAGGGGACACAAGAAAAACAAGTATAGTATAAGTATCTTGTAATAATACAACGTCGCAGAGACATCACTTTGGGATTATGTAATTAAAATAAAACTATATATCTATATAGGTATATGCTATATGCTAATTTTATATTCGTTTTCATTCAACCCTTTTTAACGCCCCATTATTGGGCACGGGCCTGCCGCCAATACGAGGGGATCAGACCGTAGTCCACCATCCTAGCCAAGGGCTGGTTGACGCACTACACATGTCTTTTCCGGGGCAGAGGCTGACTGCTACCGGACGCGTCCCCGGGTGGCGGATAGGGGAACACCACTCGCGCCTGTTTGGACCCGACAGGAGCTTGTGGTACCGGAGCAATCCGGCACGGACCAACAGCCAGGAAGAGGGGTAGAGGGAGCGGCGTTAGGAGGGCGCCGTCTCCTTCTTGGAGGTAGCGCGGTGTCTCCGGCCGTTTCGCGGTAGGAGGCGCTGCGCGGGCCACACTGCCGGGGCTAGCCCGTCGGTGCGGCGGCTGGAGCGGGGCCAGTTCGGTGGTCCTGCGTCTGGCGAGGAATGTCGGCAGCCATTTTGGTCCGGAGGTGGGCCGAGGGTAGGGGGGCCGCGGGGGAAGAGGAGTGTCGGTATGGCGATGCGCCGCTCGTCCCTATCTCCCGCGGCCTAGCGGGGCCACCACCGTTGATGGTGGACGCGGTGGGGCTGCAGGGGAAGAGGAGTGTCGGTGTTTCGTTGCCGCTCTCCCTGTCCTCTGCAGCCGATTGGAGGTGGCCCACTTCGGTGGGCGGAGGTTCGATTTAATGGGGCTGCTCCGGGTACCTCTCTGGTGTAGCAGAGTTGACTGTGGAGCAGCCCCATCGGTGTGGTGGTCAGCCGTTGGCAGACCTGCCGCCGGGGCGCCGTAGTAGTTATGCGCAAGCGATCCTGCGGCGTCCCATTAAGGCGGAGGGGAGGGGAATGTCGGGTTTTAGTGGGTAGTACCGGCTCTTCTAGCCGGTGAGCCCCACATCACCACCTGGGGGATCAGGTGGTATGCGTAAATGCATTTCCCGACATAAAAAAAAAAAACTACACATGTCTTTCGATAAACTTGCTTGTTCCTCTCAGACATGTAGGTTTCCTCAAAATGTTTACCTTTACCGTAAGACAACTTAGAATCATGATGAAAAATACTCCTTATATGAAAATATCAGAGGTGCGAGACCCGGAGTTTGAACTCGCTTCACTTGGTCCCTAGCAAGCTCGTTATCACTGGGCTACCACTGGTACGATTTATATATCGACGGTTAAAAGGTAATAGGTAATAAGCGACATTTTGGTCGCAAATGAGTTATGAATGCCATCCTACTTAAAATTTTTAGCCTTTTCGAATGCGCTTACTCCCATGTCTCTAAGATGGCTTTTTCGTCACTTATGCCCAAGCAAAAAACTGCGTTTTCGAAGTGTCATTTTGGTCTAACCGACCGAGTTTTAGGAATTATTTACCCTAAAGGCACTTGTACCCCTGTAAAAATGGTATCAATTTTGGTTTATAGTCGGTAAGGTATTTTTACTTCTTACTGGCATAGAGATTACGGGCGCTTAAGACTCTTTACAATTAGCACCGGTTTTGAAAGTTGGAACTAATGCCTCTTTACCTTTTTCGTCAAAAACATTAAGCGTCGGTTAAGCCTTACTACCATTTTCAAGTTTAAAATACAGTTGTCGCTTATACGCAATTACTAAGTCTTATTTGATATTAAACTGTCGGTTATACCTTACTACCATTAACAAGTTTACGATATAGTTGTCGCTTATACGTAATTACTAATATGAAATTTTATGTTAAGGTGTCGGGTATATCCATTTACCATTTACTATTTTAATACTACGTTGTCGCGTACGCCGTATTACTTCACAATGATTATTTGTTAATTGGTGCTTACGCCAATATTAATGACTTTGTAGTACTTAAGTACCTATTAAGCGAGTCGCTTATTCCAAAATCAAACCTAAGGCGGAGGTACCTATCAAATAAGCCATGGGTATTCTAAACCTTAGCTATGTTATCAATAAGTGTAGTTACAATAAGCTTAATAACCTACATTATCATAGCTTACGAGTACCTACTACCTACGTCCTCCCCTAAATACTTTCGTCTGCAACCTTCCCAATCTCTGGAGCCTAGCTTGCTTATTTACATACTCGTAATATATCTACAAAGAATAGTATTCGAAGAAACTCGACTTTATAGCCTACCTTCACGTATCTACATACTTACCAGATATATTCAAATTAGTTTATTATATTATTAGATTATATACTTACTAACCTTTTTTAATGCTGGGAAATGCATTTACGAATACCACTTCAATACATACATGCGGTTATGAGGGACTTACCGGCTAGAAACGTATCAATGGGGCGTCGCAGGATCGAATTTTAAAGGAGAATCATGTTGGTTGTGATTCTATTATTTTAAGACGTGACGTTTAATCCACGTTACCATTTGCCCAGATGACGTAAGTTGGATGTTCTCGTTTTCCTCTTGCTATAGAAATCTTGATGTGTGGAAGTACCACGTTACCTTGTTCTTCAATTCACTTACAGTATAACTAATGTCTAACATCCTCACAATGTTTTTGCTAGGCACTGTATCTTATGTTTCATTATGTTCTGGCATAATTATGTGAATCGTCACTTGTCCTTCTTTACCCATTTAAGTTATTCTACTGTCTTGTGACTTATGCCCTATTACCTCTTGGTATGAGGATATCAAATGTAGCTAAGGCGTCTATACTCTTCGTTTTTTATGTGCACATGTAACTTACGCCGAATTACCTCATAAGAAAAATAAGATCAATTAGTATAAGCGGCAAAAATCAACATAAAACAACGTCGAATCATATAAATAAAAGTGACCATTATTGCCTTTATTTCTCTTGATTCTAGAACTGTTTCCTTTTTTACGATATGACAATAAATAAAAAAGTTATGTCCATTTTTCTGCAATTTCAAACTTTAAACAGCACTCCTGAACAATTTCGTTTTTGTTGCTTATACCTTATTACCTTTTAACTGTCGATATGGAATTATTTTTAACAGTATACTGTTTTTTTACATTTTAGAGGTACAATGTGACATTGACTCGAGCTAAAGCCAAGATCATCATTATCGGTAACGCCACATGTCTCACTCGAGATCGAAAATGGCGCATATACATGGATTTCTGCAAAGATCTAAATTGCTACTTTGGTAAAGAAACAGAACAGTTACAAAGAAATTCAGCCCTTTTAATGGATATTGCAAGGAAGCGTTTCGACAAATGTCGCCTTTCTGACTTTTTAAAACCAGTGCTTGACAAAGATAAACATATTGAAAAGAGGAAGAAAATACAAAAGTAAGGACTAGCGATAACTAAATATTAATATCAGGGGAATTTCTAAATAAATAACGTTTTTTTATGTAAGTATTAAGAGAACAATATATCAGAAATACTATACACGTCATGTCGATTGAACCTTTACAATAATTTAAATAAAGGTGATAAATTATCCATGTTTATAGTTAAATTTAAATATTTAAAAGGACAAGTATAAAGCAACTTCTCAAATTCCTATATTATATATAGTAACGCCATCTTGGTTCATTTTGACGTGACGCGTTCTTGACTATACAATAAAAAAATATTATTGATTTGTTTTTTTAAATTAGTTAGAATTACTCGCTATTTTATTATTCCATTTTTCTGCTATTAAAAGTTAGTACTGTTGTTCTTTCTATATCTTTGTTGATTCTTGTACTATGTTTTCTTTTTATAAAAATCTACTTATGTACTACCTAATAATGTAGCGCTGCTAATTTATTAAACAAATCATAAATATTTATTCATTGTTAATGTAATACATATATAAAAATATAAGTCCAATTTGATTAATATTTTGAATCATTTACCAAATATAAAGTATGTTTAATTTTATATGGATATAAGCTAACTTGAAAATTAGATTTATGTAACTAATGTATCAGTTAAAAATTCCTGTGATATTTATAATAGCTTTACTGCTGATTGAGATATTTTTGAACTTGGCTGTTATTTTAAAATTAATTGTACTTAGAGTTAGTTCGAAAAAAAAATTGGTCACATTCCTTCCATCTGCTCATGATGGACCACTGTAATATACTTCAAAATATCATGATATTATATAATACTAACAGTTCCCGCGGCTACGCCTGCGTTCAATCTACAAAACAAATTCTTTGGCTTTACGTTATACATCGACTCACCCTCGCTTCGTTCGGGTTTGTCGCTATGTATTTATATAATATTGTTCATACAAAAATACTAAAATCGTGAGTAAAAAAGAGGGGGTGGGGGTAGGAAGGTGAAAAATACTTAACGATCTATTGTCATACCTACCAAATATGCACAAAAAATCATTAAAGTCGGTCGAGCCGTTTCGGAGAAGTACGACCACAAACACCTTGACACGAGATTTTTATATAGTATAGTTCTATGTCCATCGAAATCATCTTAGTTTTCCAATCATATTTTGTATTATTTTTTATTTTAATTAGATATAATAATGAATAACCTTAATACTATATTCGTCTCAGGCGAAGGTATAAGAAGAAATGATTTATGTGCTGCTTATCGATTGATGCAATGTCTATACCATTCTAGTTGTATTGCACTAAACCACGCAGTTATTAAAATAACTAATAAGGAATATGCATGTGTTTTTGTTTTTTTTTTGTTTTGTACAATAGCTTACATCGTTATATATTTGAAAAGAAAAATCTTAGCTCAAAAAAACTAAAATTTAGTATATAAAATAAATTAAAACATCATACAGATACTTTAAACGCCCACCATTTTGACGCGCTCGGCGTGACGTCATAGTCTATGACAACGTTGCAGTCAACGAGTGAATAGGTCTTGATTGTTACTTGTAAACACCAAACAACAACTCTCTATTATAATAGACTTTGACGTCACATTCGGTCTAGCCAATGACGTTGCGTTTCAACTACTTTGGATTTCCGAACTATTTTTGCACTTTTCAATAATTATTTTCTTAATCAAAAAAAAAATCACATTAAATAATACTGATATAGGCTTAATTTAGAAGCAAAAAAGTTTAAATCACACGCATATTCCCTACTGTTTGATCGTTCTTAAATGTTCGTCGATAAAACATTTCGCTCGGCTTAATTAATATGTACAGCAAAATAATGAGCGAGGTTTGTGTAAGACAACTAGACTAAGGGAATTTCTCACATATTTTACCATCTATGCATTGCATAACACTGGACGCAGTTTTACATCATATTAATTATAATTAGATATAGATACAATTTACTATTAAATTATAATATAGTACACGCCATGTTATTTGAAGTTTTGACAGGTGCTGGAAAACATCAAGTGATGAACAATGCCTTGTGAAAGATAGATTTACAAAAATTGTTTTATGTAGGTAGTATATTCAAGTTTGTCAGCACAAATGTGGCCTAACCTTTTTTGAACAATTTTTATGAAAAATCAACATGATGTTTTAATGAGATTTTCTATTGCCTACAATATACCAAACAATTTTATATATTATATTTTCCATGATATTTGTAACTTCGTTCTTTGTACTAATGCTCAGAAAAGAAATACTTTCTCATGTTTTTCGTTTACGGGTTATATCATTTTTGCGCTGACATACTGGAATAAAGGATTTCTAGTGTTAAAATACCTGCCTAAAAGGCATCTCGATATCTCCAAAGAAAAACATTGTAACTTATCCACTATTAAGACAATTCAAATATAAATTTTTCAGATATAATTTTGAGTTACAATGTTGTTCCTTGCAGGTGTGCCTTTCTCAATTATACATATTTAAAAACAAACATAAAACAATTTTTATGTACAAGTGTACCAGCGCTTTTGTTGATTTCTTTGTTACCTGGCGTGCTAAATATTAAACTATGTTATAATTTTTATTATTACTCTATCATTATATTTTTACTATAATACTTACTTCATAATAAAACATTTATATCAAAGTTCTTATATCATCATTTTTATGGTCGGTATAATTAAAAATTTGTTTAATATGTTTAAATTTGACATTTTACAATGTATGGAAATCTAATTTTTAATAAATATTTTTTCAAAAAAAAAAAACATTTTTTATTGCGAATGATTATTATGGACGCGGTACGCTTGCGTATGATCGCGTAAAAATCGTCCACACGCGCCTCCGCAAACATTGCCGACGCACTGCAGTGTCGAGGCTTTCTCAGCACCGCCCTCGGCACATTGTTGTACTGTACCCGCAGGGCACTGTAGGTCCGCTGCGTGTAGTCCGTCCATAGGTTGCACGTGTAGAAGGACTGGCAAAAGGCTTTAAACAAGATTAACTTTACTTGTGTCGTACAACGTGCAAATCTACGGGCCAACATGTTGCCCCTGACCGACAGCGCCCTGCGTTCACGTTCTATGTCAATACCAGGCGTTCGGTTACAATATGCCCTAGGTACTTGAACTCAGCTACTTGCTTCAGGGGAGTCCCACATAGCTGAAAACATGGCTTGTAATTTAGTGGTTTGTTCTTTCCCCTGAAAGTCAAGACTTCACTCTTTTTGGAGTTATATGGGCAAAGAATTATTTCCTTGAAACTTGGTATTAATGCTTTTCAATACAATTAAATAAATACGTGTTTTAGCATTTTTCAAATTCAATCCCACAAGGGTGTAAAATGGGGGATGAAAGTTCGTATGAAACTCGTAAAAAGTACAAAAAATAAAAACTTTTGGCAACAAATGATATTATTTTTTTTTGCATCCTGGCACTGCACAATTTGTCATTTTAATTAAAATAAAAAATGAAATAAATTCCATCCTTGTAGAGCTTTACAACATATTGAGGGCCATAGTGATTGCGATATATGGTGGGAGAAAAAGGTAAAATTCTCCCCCATAGTGCACATCCCTGATGAAGTTATAAACTGAAGCTAAAAATAAATCTTTTTATCTCTAGAGAGTAATAGGCCACATTATTATTTTCTTTTTTATGGCAATATTGATAGTGATACACCACTCTTGCAACATTATAAGACAGACGTCTTTATGACAATAGAATAGAGCTGAAAAATCAAAAAATTACGATCAGTCAAATTCACTTTTTTATGAGGCTGGTTGTTGCGTTGATTTGATATATCGTATAGAATTATATTTATTAATTAATTATTTAAATGTTATTTAGACAGGCAGTCCACAAGCAATAACTCCAAAACCAAGAATTTAAATAAGTTTTTTAAATTAACGCATAGTGTATAAATACCTTAATTAAACATAAATGTTTTTATTTTCAACTTTTAAGAATATATCCACTATTTAACACAAAATGAGTGAAACCGTGAAATATAGCGATATTTTAAAACCCAGAAATATACAATTTGGTATTTTTAAGTTTATGACTCGTTCATGGGAACCTAAGAAAACTGTAACTCTAGGAAAATATTATTCACCTCAAGAAATTAAAAAGGTGGTCGCTGAATCTGTATACATCGATGCCTACTTAGAAGCGGTAAGGGTTTACTCTTTAGGGTAAAAGAATTTTTAAAGTTAAGGTGAAAAGAAGTATAATTAATTAAAAAAAAAAATCTTTCAGGAGAGTGCCCGCAGTGGTGCACCTAAAGAACAGCTGCGAAAAGAGGTATTTGAATATTTAGAAGAGATTGCAATGGATAAAAAAATGCATATAATTCGTTGGATGGGAATAATGTTTCTTAAAATATGTTTCATGATGAAAATAGGAGTATTTGTCAATGAACCTGCATTGCTTAAGGTACATTTTACAATGTTTTCCAGTTAGAGTACTTTTATTATGCATGTTTTATTAAGAGCGTTTTAAATTAATAAGACTTAAAATACACTTAAATTTAATTTTGAAATTATTATTATTATTACATACCTATATCAATACCTACATTCTATATATAATACCAAGTATAATTATGTGTAAAACATTTTTTAATTAAAAGAAAAATATTGTATTATTTTTTATTTCTTTTAGATAAAATCATCAATGGGCAAAAATCCAATATTATTCTTGCCAACTCACCGAAGTTATGCTGATTTTTGTCTTATGACATATCTATGCTTTCATTATGATATAGAATTACCTGCTGTTGCTGCAGGAATGGGTATGTACATGTAAAAAAAAATTTTTTTTAGTGATATTTAAGAAAACGTGTGTGTGTGTGTACTTATGTATGCATGGAAGAAATTATACTTTTTTGGTGTAACACAACAAAAATAGCTAAAGACTTCATCCCATATGTCACAACTCTCTGTTTGTATAATATGATGATATGGGATATTCGGGATATTTGGCATATTGTAATCATTATATAGAATATAATTTAAGGAAAGAATATAATAAGAATGAATAAAATAAATATATAATTTGTGAGACAATAACAATAGTTACCTGGCAACAAACAGTTATCAGCTAACTTCATCATGTCGCTTCTTGGCTCTCGGTGTGCGCACGCATCGTAAAAAAAATACTCAAATATTTTTTTCCAACTTCAAAAATATGTGCAATTGTTTCCCTTCTTTCAATGTAATAAATTACAAGATTTATAACAATTTAAAAGCACATAGTAATTGGATCATAAATGAAAACTGCTAAATTAAGTATGTTGAAAACTGCCTAAAAAAGTATATTGGTTGAAAATTAAAGATTTGGTTAGATTTGATTATTTACAAAAAGTAATAACAATGAAGGTTTTCTGTAAAAGTAAATTATTTAACTTATTATTTAACAACTTAACAATGATTTTCAAGGCCATTGTTAAATACATTTGTATATATTTGCATAAAGCAAGTTTCTGTTATTCTCCTCGTACAATGTTTATACAACATTATTGTATATTAAGCTAGCGACTCACACTCGCTCCGCTCGTCCCTACTTACATTTTAACATTTACTATAGATTTCTCAAAGATGAGATATTTTCCCGCAGAAAAGTATCCTGTATGTGTACCTGGATAATCAGCTGCCATCATACCAAATTTCATCAAAATCCCTCCAGTGATTTCCCCGTGATGCGGTCCCAGACAGACAAATATTCTAAAAACTATGGATTCGGCCTCTGTATCTATAATAATGTATATTTCAATAAGATTTTCCAAAAAATATTTAATGTACAGATTCTTCTTGGTTACAATTTTATTATATGTACAGATTTGTTAGCAAAACAACAATTCAAGTTTTGAATTTCTTGTGGTATAATCTCAGACCAATAAAATACTTTTTTATTAGTCTGAGGGTATAATGTTTATCATAGTTGAATTAGCATTGGCTTTTTGCTTGTTTAATTCTTCTTGCAGGTAAACTGGATGATTCTTAAAATTACAGGAATGACATCTTTACTAATTACATATTAGTATTCTAAACCACTAAATAACAACAAAAAAATTATGTATAATTCTAAGCAACTCATAATATGCGTCCCATATTATTTTTTTCATTTTGCGGCAACTAAATATGACTCCTTTTCACGTTTCATTTGAAATCTGTTCTCGATTTAAGTCTGTAATATAATATATTAACTGTCTTGTTGGTCTAGTGTAGTGTTTTTCAAAGTGTGGATCACGACTCCCCAGAAGCCTCGGGCACAGACGATCGCGAAGCGTCAGAAAAAAAACAGATCATTTTTTTTTAATTAAATGAAAACAAAAGAAAAAAAACAAATTAACAAAATGAAAAAAAATACGCACTACATTCATATTATTATGAAATATGCGCTAGTTTTTCGTTAACCAATTTCTCCCATCGCTAATCCATTTTTGCCACATTTAGGGATTTATCTGTTTTATTTTTATTTGGGCCATTGAGGAAAACGTCAGCATACTTCAACGCTTCTGTGGCTCATTTTGATTTTCCTTTTAATCAAAAGATTTCCAGGATTTGATATTTGTAATATAATAAAATTAATACATAATAATTAATAATGTTAGACGCAAAATATTTTTTCACATGCTGCGGGGGTTGCGCCATGAAAAAGATTGAAAAACAGGTCTAGTTTTTAGTATATATGGCTATAGATTGTGAGGCATCTAGGTTCGAGGTGTCGAGTGGGGCCAAAATAGTCACTTGACTTGTCTATCATGAAATGCTCAGTATGTGTGTAAAATGTACATTGTACATCCATATTCAGGCCTCGAGAGTCGAACCGGCGCCTTATCTCTCACCGGTCGTGTCGAGTTGTCATCCCACCAGAATATACGTTCAAAGAATAGAAAGTGTGTCTGTGCACACACTTTTTCACTTTAATGCCTATAATATATACGGTATTGCATATTCGCAATCGGTTAACCTCAGTAAGGTTGGCCGTCGACCGCCGTAACCAAAAGCATTAATATAGAATGTATTCCATACATATTTTTTATCTAAATACAATTTATAATTTACAACTTCATTAAACTGCTCACCCAAAAGATTATAAATACAAACAATAAACTTGCGTCATACTATTAAAATGCTTAGAATAAAATTGTTTGTCTCTCACAGACTTTTATTCAATGGCGGTGATCGGTCAAAGTATGCGGGAAACGGGAGCATTTTACATTCGACGTACATTAGTCGGCTCGCCCCTTTATGCGGCCACGCTACGTCATTACGTACGGACTCTGGTGGCGAAGCACTACGCGCCTGTGGAGTTCTTCCTCGAAGGAACTAGGAGTAGGAGTAATATGAGTTTATTGCCTAAATACGGTAAGATATCAATATTTTATCTGATTAACATTTTCCTTGTGTGTGGAAAACTTGATAACTCACGAATGTATGTGAAAAAGTACCTACATCATCAAAAAGTCGTAAAAATCAATATCATTCATGCATTTATGTAGTTGGCCAGGTTATTACCTAATTTGGGCTAATTAACCGGATTTGAATTTGTCCGTACAGACCAGCAATGTTGCGATTGTCATTATAATCGATATTTAAGAAAAAAATGTATCTACCTAGTCAAAACAAAATCTCATAACAATATCCAGTGTTAATTATAAAATGCAAAAAATATGAAAATGCTCATTTATATTCAAACATTGTAAGTAGTAAAATATTTTTCTCTTTGTTTTATAATATCTTTTTTGTATATATTATAAAGGCATGTTGTCAATGTCGCTCGTGCCATACTTCGCGCGCGAAGTTGCAGACGTCACGATAGTGCCTGTTAACATCAGCTATGACCGTCTCATGGAACAGAGTCTCTTCGCATTCGAACACATGGGTGTGCCCAAACCTAAAGAAACTACTGGGGTGAGTAAAAAACTCAGATATAATAAACATTTTAATGTACATATTAACATATATATATTGTAGCTAAAACTTAGCTCAGCGTAACTACTTGTGATTTTATAACTTATTTTCTTATCATAGATTTTCATTATAACGATGATGTTAAATTCATATAAAAGTACCTTAGAAATATTAAATATTATATTTCAAGATTTGGATTTTTTGTGGCTAATTGTGTTAATGTAATTATGAGATTAGAGAAATAAAAACTATGTAGTGTTCACAATGGATACCATTTATATTAATTAAGAAGCGAGGTATACATACGTAGGGGAGCAAGTTATATTATAATACAAAATAAAATCCTTAAGCTAATTTAGAAACGAATTGATAGTGAATAATGACTTTGTCAATGCTGATAAATCATTAATGAAAGGAAAAACTTGGCTTCTAAAATTGTACACAATTACAATCGAAATTCAAAATTGGAATTGGATTTTTTAGGAAATTCATGATATTTGCTTACTGGTTAAATATAATCTTATAAATGATCCCATATCACATCTAATTCAATACTTGATAAAAATAATTATTACTGAATAGGCGTACATACTTATACCTACACCGTTTTTTTAATGTTAGGAAATGCATTTACGTATACCACCTATAGATATACAGTTCTGTGGTTATGTGGAACTCGACGGCTAGAAAAGCCAGTACTACCCACTAAAGCTTCCCCCGTTTTAATGGGGCGTCGCAGGGTCGCCTACGCACTCAATCACGACGCCATGACGGTAGGTCTGCTGAAATAGACCGCAACAACCATTGGATTGCTCCACAGTCCACTATGCTGTCAGAGAAGTACCAGGAGCAACCCCCATGGTACACCGCCCACCGAAGTGGGCCACCTCCCAGTACTTTTCTTGGCTTCGCGCCCGGCTGAATTGCCGGTCGCTAATGACCACGACAAGATGAACGCACGTTGGAAGGGAAATACTTATACACCTACCTTGATACTTGATGTTGCGGACTGCGAGGAGCGACGCCAATAGCGAGATCTCAAGCCTATCTATCTTAATCTTATTTTCTATTAATATTAAGCCATTTTCTACCAAATAATTTATTTTTAACGGACTAAATCAGGAGTATAGCACCCGGTGAACGTCATAATATAAACCATAGTGAAAATTAGGATAACACCTTTGTAAGAGCATCATTATAAACAAGTTAGCTAATAGAATAAGTTGATTATGCCTAAGTCCCCTCTAAAAAAATATATTTTTTTAATATTTCAGGGATTCCTAAAATCATTATATAGATTAAACGATAACTACGGCAACATTTATATAAATTTAGGCGATCCAATTTCTTTAAGAGAATATTTAGGGCAAGATTTGCCCTTCTCTTCAGAGACTTTAAAGCCCTTAGATTTGCAACATCTGACCACTGAACAGTTCAAATATGTTCAAGATATTGCCGATTACACGGTTTCCATGCAACAGGAGAGCACTGTTGTCACTATATCGAATTTAATCTGTATTATATTAATGGAGAGCATTATAAAGAACGAAGTGTTGAGTTTGGAACAAGTATCGATCAAAATAGAGTGGTTGATTCAAATTTTGCGGACACTTGGTGCATCGGTTTTTGAAAACGACGTGAAAACCAGTATCGACAGGATTTTATTGGTCCATAAGAAAATAATGAAGTTAGACGGTGACAATAAATTACGTCTCGTCTCTGGCACTCTGATGGATGTCAGTCCTGAAGTACAGAAAAAAATGAAAGGTAATTAATTATAGTTTACCTTAAGTCATTTTTGCCGTTTTTATATTTCATTAATTTTATTGTTACTTATCAATTCTAAAAAAAGTATATCTATCTATATTTTAGTATCTAATCATATCTATTGTATATTGTTTATTGTATAATATATCACCACACGCCAACTTTTAGACATTTACAAATAACTAACAAAAACACTGAAGGTATTAAATCTTACGCTGTATTTTTTTTTTGATAAATAATTGATTTGATAATATTGGTAAAAACTTTGACACATAATTCACTCAGTTGTAATAAATAAACATAATTATGGTTATTAGTAGGTTTTTAATTATCGTTTACTAAGAGGTGCAATTGTCTTGTTGTATGTACGTACATATATGTATCTATTAGTAATTTTATCTAAGAAGTCGTTTTAACCCAGTTTCTAATTGTAGACAGTTAGTGATAGTTATTGATACAATGCTTCGCAAGTGTATAAAATTTCGATGAACATATAATTTGGTACCATCGAGTTTACGTTGAATGAGATGGGTAGAAAGTAGTAGGGGTGCTCACCACCCCTAAATGACTCCAAGTAAACCACTCGAATTAGCGTGTGCATTAATGAGTCCGCTAAGTATGCCACAAAAATAATATTATAGAATAACACTTTCTTTGTAGAATTGAAATAAAACGAATGAAAAAAAAAACATTTTTATTCTATTGCAGTATAAATTCATTGATAAATTACTTAACATTCTAGGTTTCTAAGGTAATAGCTAGTCCTTAGATATTACAGTAGCATTTCAGTGTTAAACTAGACCGAGACATACGTTCCTGTACCTAGGTACTTGATTAGAATCAATATTTACTTTTAATGGGAAACGAGTCTACTTCGTCTTGTATACTAAGCTAAAAGCTTTGCTAATTGGACGTATACAATAAACAACAAAGTCCAGTTTTGTCAGTAATGAATTGTATTTAATTACGTAACCACATTAAACTATACCTAGAAGGTACGACCTTGTTAATAGCTACGTTATTTTTATTATAATTAAATATTATAATTTATAAGATATAATACCTGCTAAATACTGATTTTTTGTCTTTAAATGACTTAATTGAACATATTTTAATTTATAATAATACTAGCAGAACCCGCGGCTTCGCTCGCGCTAAAACTAAAAAGGTAGGTTCCATAAAAACTTTCATCCCCTATTTTACTCCTTTATGTGATGAATTTCGAAAAATGCTAAAAGACGTATTTATTTAATTATATTGAAGAGCATTTATACCAAGTTTTAAGTCATTCTGACCATAAAAATTTTTTTGGGTTGTATTATAACGTTCTCATTGGCCTTGGCATTTGCCGTGGGAATCAGCCCTCCGACTATCTCCACACAAAATAACGCCAATACCTCGTGAAAGAAAGACAAACAAACAAACAAACAAACAAACAAACAAACACACTTTCACATTTATAAATAAAATAATACTGCATCATATTTATACTTTAGTATGGATATTATTCAGTATTATTTAGACGTAATATTTGTTGAAGTAATATTAAATGCAATGAAATAATTATTATATTAATTTAGCATGAAAATAAAGTTATAAAGTTAAGTATATGTTAGAAGTGATACTAGTGAGGTACTACAACATTTAACAAATTTTTAGGTCACATTTTAAAAGCGGAAACTATGGTGAATGCAATTCCGATCATTGAATTGCAGTTGTATGTGAATCCAGTCCTGCACTACTTGGTGCCGCCTGCCATTGTGTACCTCGCCGTGCTGAAAGGAGAGAATACTATTGGTAGATATAACATCTGCTATAAGTGCATTGTGTGTATTAATGAGCAGATAAAGAATGGGATTATAAATGGCGACATCTCTGTTTACTTTTCTCGTGATAACTTTCGCCGCTTTTGCTTACCTGTTGGTATAAATATCAAAAAAGTCAGTGTATCTATAGGTATATATGAAACAAAGTTGAGTTTGTTACAACACTTATAACTCGAAAACTGCTGGACCAATCTTCATGATCTTTGTTTTGTTGGATTTGTCTTTATCTTTGATATTAATTGTACCTTTATCTTGACAATATTTTTAGTTTTTACACATAGTCTAAAAAGGATTAGATATGTTTCCCGATGAAATGTAAATCTAGATAATAATTATTTTTTAGTAAAATGTAATATTTAAACAGTACCATACATTGTTCTAAGCACGTAGTAACGTTATATATAATAAGCTTCTATTTCTAATCCCATTCTGTAGTCTGAAGTCTGGTAGTAATAAGATATTTACGGTAACCTATTTTATGTATTTTACAATCGACATAAAAAAGACAAGGAAAGAAGATTTCATATAAAACTAACGACTTCCCCTTACTTCGGGTACCTAACGACAGTCTATTTGTTACTGTAGGTCAGCCTTATCTGTACCGAATTTCATCCAACTCGTCTGTTTCAGCGTGAGTAATTCGCAGTTTTACTTGTAGTCCAGATATTTAATGGGGCTTTCATATAAAGATGTAAGTCTGATTATATGATAATATATGGTACAACATACGACAGGAAGTGATAGTACTACTGCTCGTAGTTCAAACGTCGTGTGACATGTCGGTTCATTAATTTGTTGAATGCCAACATATTGTTTGGTAAATTAGTGGAAAGTCACTTTAAAAACCAAATGTGTTAACTAAATGTAAATATAGGTCAAAATGTAAAATAAACATGAGTGTCGTATTGTTAAATTATATAATGTTTATACAATTATTTTCTAATACTTATCTATACAATGCACATACGAGTATGAAAAAAAAATTTTTTTGGTGCTCAGGGATAAACGAGCAGCACCAGTAACCGAAAGCAGTATCTGTCGCCCATTACATCTACAGTTCATGCACTTAGGTTTTACGTAACAAAAATGCAGAAACGCAGGTGCGTTGTCAGCTGTCACTATGAGGACCAAGATGATATGCCTCTTGCCTGTAAATTGTGCTGGCTACCTTATACTTTAATAAATATACCCAACTTCCAATAATATTTAATTAAATTGTTTATTATAATTACACGTACACGTTTTAAATGGCATTGTGTGGCCTCATAGAATTCTGTTTGTCGACAAAAGCATAAGTTGCCGGTTTGATTTCTGCACATCGTAAATCGTTACCAATACTCGTAATACTTATATGCACATAAATAAATATAAAAGTGTTTGTTGGTGTACCTTCCATGAAGAAATAAATGACATATATTATTGCATAAAGATTTATAAAGGGCCAATTTTTATCCCTATATATAGATAGATATACAAGTCTTCCCAATGAGATTATGAATATTGCAAAAACTGAATAATAATTATAAGTGCACGGTGTAGTTAGACCAATCAAATCAATAAAAAGGATAGGGATAAACAAAAAAAAACAATTATAAAATATTTTATCTTACCTAAGGTACCTAGTTACTAAGTAGATCGTAATAGTTTAATAACATATTATATTTAATATCTATATTATATTAATTCTAGAGGGCCTTTCCGCTGACTACCATCGCCTGAGAAAGTTATTAAGATACGAATTCTTCCATTTAGAAAAGACTGAAAAAACGGTAAGAACGCAAATAAATACACACATTTAAGTATTTACGCAACGTCTATGTTAGTCTTTAAACTTATCTACACGAGATTTTTTATTACTTGTTTATTTATGCTACCGTTGCTATATTATTTATTATTTATGCGCTAGCTTTTTAGCACATAATAAATAAACAATAATTTAATAACATATTAACGAGCGAGCAATTTATGGGTGTCAAGAGTGTGGACTACTTTTTATTATGGTGCTATTTTCTTGCAATGTTTCTTTTAATGGTTCACATTTAATTTTTATAAAAAATTCTTTATTCCAGACATTCAACAAGGCGTTAGAATATTGTGTGCAGAACAAAGTGATCACAGACACATATAGGAACGGCTCGGAGGAATCGTTGCAGCTGTTATTGCAATGGACGGTGACGCCGGCTCTCACAACGTTGGCTAACTGCGTAGAAGTTATGGCGGAGGTTAATATGAATATTTAATTTATACAATGATAATTTGTTTATATATTTGTGTAGCGGATTTATAGGGCGCGGTATAAAGTTTTTGGTCACGCTATAATACATGTAATATAGCTATTAAATATAAAATATTTATATGTTTCATATAAAATTCACCGTCTGCTTTTTTCTTTACTTATGTCGCGTACTTTTTCAGACTTATTCGAATAAAAACAACAACTAACAAGTAAAAAATAACGAAAATGTACTTCGCGGTTTTTATTTTGATTTGTTCGAGAACACGAATTCGAGACTCTTCAACGTTTCGAAATATTTATACTATGCATGGTTACGTATATGAGTGATACGTCGAAGACGTTAGTCTCTTCTGTAACCACTGGGCACTGTCACTGTTTGCTGTAGAGCATTGGAAATATTGAGAGCAAGAAGACTAAACTAAAACCGACAAAAAACCGAAAAAATATTGAATTGAAAACGTTATCATATAATAAAATTCTAACTGAGCCGAATCTGTACATTAAATATTTTTTAGAAAATCTTATTGTCATTATTATACAGAGGTCGAATATAGGGTTTTGGGTTATTGCGGGAAAATATCTCATCTCTGAGAAATCTATACTAAACGGTAAAACCTATTTTATAAATATAACGTGTCTTTAAAATAGTTTATATCGCCTATTTCAAATCTTTAAAGTAAAACGAACGTACTTGCAGCACAAAAAGTGCGAGCACAGACAGGCGTTGCGGCTGGTGCAGGAGCGCGCGGAGACGCGCCGCCTGCACCCCTACTGCCTCAGCCTCGAGTCCATCGCCAACTGCTTGCAGGGGCTTGCCCTGAACGGGACCGTTACTAAACGGAGAAAGTAAGTTACAATACCTATTTATCTATATACTAAATAAAAATCAATTGCTGTTGTTTAGTCTCCCTAAAACTCAAAAACGGCTAGATCGATTTGAATTATTCTTTTTTTGTTTTGATGGAGGTGTGTCAGGCCTGCTTTAAGTATAAAGAGAAATTGGGGAAACACAAAAAAAAACTGGAAAATTGAAAAATTGAGAAATGTTTATTTTGTATAGGAATCACTAACCGTCAAAAAATCATTGTCCAATATAATTCAAATTCGAAATTTTCATTCTACATTAAATTATTACAACTTTTGTTCTTCCATCTGTTCGAAACGAAATAAAAAAATACCCAGTAGGAAAGAAATTCCTGTTTATGCTGTCATTGTCACGAGTACTGCATATTACGTAAAATACAACTTCTTCCAGTTTTAGAATCACGATAACTCAGGAACGGCGATTCTTAGAAAAAAAAGGCATATAACAATTTTGTACATATTTTGTGATCTGTAATTTTTGTCTGGGCTATTTTATGATAAAACTTACCGTTTACCAGACAAAAAAATACCTTTGACCTTGAATAACTTATAGTAGATGTGGAATCGATGGGGACTTAGTATTATATTTGTAATAATGTTCCAAATTCTGTACCAACTTCCAGATCTATGCGAATTATTGAAAACCTACCACTATTTGTTTCCTTTAACTGGACTAAATAGGTCACCGTCATAAAAATGTATACGGACTCCTTATATATCTCGCCTTGTCCTTATCTCTTCTCGGTGGGTTTTAATAAAAAATAAAAAATGTGTCGTGACGGTCGAAATTTTACATTTGTTTCCGTCTTGCTCTCATTCGCCAAGTGCACCAAATATAACATGCAATAAGGTACTTTGTTTTAAAAGTGTGTGTTTTGAAGGGAACTGGCGAAAGGAACTCTTGTTTTAGCTTCAGTATGATATATAAAAAAATCACTTCCATTCATCCAAATAAATATAAGGTAGCTTTTCTATTTAAATCGGGAAAAACTCATATTTTAATAAGTGCTTAAATTTTCAGTTCCTTTGTTATTTTACAATGCCTAATTACCTGTATTGTTTTTACCTACTCACTAATAATAGTTATTGTATAATTTAAAAAAAAATATGTAATTGATTGATATATATTTCGACAGTTTTAAGTTGTATATTATATACGGGTTCTATTTTAACTCTTTTGTCAGTAACTCCTAAGAGTGCAGTTTGTATAAAGCAGTTTTTAATCATTATAATCATATACCAAGCAATCGAGCCCACGGTCACATTATACATACTTTCTTCATCAAATTAATAAAAAAATATTTCTTATTATATAATACTACAGACTCACCCTTGCTTCGCTCGGGTTCGTCCCTAGCTTGATTCCCCATACAAACTTTCATCCCTATTTTCACTTCCTTATGGGATGATTTCCGTGATAAAAACTATCCTATGTCCTTGCCAGGATCTCAAACTATCTTCTTACCAATTTTCATCTAAATCGGTTCAGTAGATCCAGAGATTACCCCCTACAACGTCACAAACTTGCAATCTGACAAACTCACAAATAGCCTGAGAGCTCGTGACGAATTTTGGGAACCTATGTGAAGTTAGAAACTGACTAAACGATAATTAGTTTTTATCAATTCTATTCGATTGTACTACGTTTGTACCGGATTGTACCGCTTTTTAAATCGTTTGTACCTCAAAGGGGTGAGCAATATGGGGGTTCGAATATATGTATGGTTCACAGCCAACCTAAAAATATGACGTTTTTGTTGATGCCAATTGGAAGCATATCGTTTGTACTGGATTGTACCGCTCTTAAAATCGTTTGTACCTCAAAGGGGTGAGAAATATAAGGGTGCGAAAATATGTATGGTTCTCAGCCAACCTAAAAATACGACATTTTTGTTGATGCCAATTGGAAGCATATCGTTTGTACTGGATTGTACCGCTCTTAAAGTCGTTTGTACCTCTAAGGGGTGAGAAATATAGGGGTGCGAAAATATGTATCGTTTACAGCCAATCTAAAAATACGACATGTTTGTTGATGCCAACTGGAAGTATATCGTTTGTAAAGGATTATACGATTTTTAGAAGTGAAAAAATATACATAAATAAAAAAATATAATGTTTATAAATATATGTACATTTTTTTTTCTTTACAAAAAAATCTCTGCGGTATAAATGGGTACAAACTATGACAAGTCGAGAACTTATCGTAAAATTCAATTAGCACGTGTATAATGATGATACAAAGCGAATTCTCCACGGTACAAACGGGTACAAACGATGAGAAGCCGAAAACTTATTGTAACATTCAATTAGCGTATGTATAATGATAATAGAAACGAAATTCTCGGCGGTACAAACGGGTACAAACGATGAGAAGCTGAGAACTTATCGTAAAAATCAATTAGCACGTGTATAATGATGAAACAAACCAAATTCTCCACGGTACAAACGGGTACAAACGATTAGAAGCCGAGAATATATTGAAACATTCAATTAGCGTATGTATAATGATGATACCAACCAAATTCTCGGCGGTACAAACGGGAACAAACGATGAGAAGCTGAGAACTTATCGTAAAAATCAATTAGCACGTGTATAATGATGATACAAAACAAATTCTCCACGGTACAAACGGGTTAAAACGATGAGAAGCCGAGAACTTTTTGTTAAATTCAATTAGCGCATGTATAATAATGATAGAAACGAAATTCTCGGCGTTACAAACGGGTACAAACGTTAAGAAGCTAAGAACTTATCGTAAAAATCAATTAGCACGTGAATAATGATGATACAAACCAACTTCTCCACGGTACAAACGGGTACAAACGATGAGAAGTCGAGAACTTCTTGTAACATTCCATTAGCGTATGTATAATGATGATACAAACCAAATTCTCGGCGGTACAAACGGGTACAAACGATGAGAAGCTGAGAACTTATCGTAAAAATCAATTCACACGTGTATAATGATGATACAAACCAAATTCTCCACGGTACAAACGGGTACAAACGATGAGAAGCCGAGAACTTATTGTAACATTCAATTAGCGTATGTATAATGATGATACAAACCAAATTCTCGTCGGTACAAACGATGAGAAGCCGAGAACTTATTGTAACGTTCAATTAGCGTATGTATAATGATAATAGAAACAAAATTCTCGGGGGTACAAACGGGTACAAACGATGAGAAGCCGAGAACTTATTGTAAAATTCAATTAGCGCATGTATAATGATGATACAAACCAAATTCTCCACGGTACAAACGGGCACAAACAATGAGAAGCCGAGAACTTATCGTAAAAATCAATTAGCACGTGTATAATGATGATACAAACCAAATTCTCCACGGTACAAACAGGTACAAACGATGAGAAGCCGAGAGCTTTTTGTTAAATTCAATTAGCGCATGTATAATAATGATAGAAACGAAATTCTCAGCGGTACAAACGGGTACAAACATTGAGAAGCTGAGAACTTATCGTAAAAATCAATTAGCACGTGTATAATGATGATACATTTATTATTTATTATTTATGATGATGGTATTTTTCAGTTAGCAGTCGTCACTCGACTGAGACACTTGTACATATAGTTAACGTCAGTTTCTTGCCGACGGAACTGGTTTGACCGGTAACTCGTGTGCGTCTTACCAATGCAGCGTATAATAAAATATTACTATGAGTGATGACAATATAGAACCGTGCAGTATTCCATTACTGCGTGATAATGTCGAAGATTTAGACAGTTATGATGACGTCATGAATAGTACAGAAAGAGAGGAAAGAGTATTTTTGAAAGAAAATGAAGGAAATAGAGAAAAAAAGAGACAGTTAGAAAATAGTGAGGAGAGCGAGACAGGGGATGCTGAAGAAGGATGGACCAAGGTTCGAGGAAAAGGGAAGAGAACATGTCTTCGAAGTGAGATTGACGTGAATGTGAGCAATCATAATTTTGAAATATATATCTCCTCTAAAGATAAGATGCCCAAACAATTCGCCCTAGCAAGAACTTTTCAACAGCTCAATATCACTAGCATCAATCACGTTAAATACATAACACCCTATAAAGTGCGGTTGCATTTGGAGAACGAGGAGACTATGAAAAATATTTTGGAATGCGAAGAGTTAATTCGTAAAGGTTGGAGAATATATAAAGCTATGGAATTGTCATATTGTTATGGTGTTATTAGAGATGTTGACCTTGATTTGAGTGAAGAAGAAATTTTGAATAATATATCTTGTCCTTTTTCTATTGAAATCCTATCACTTAAGCGACTTAATAGGTTTGACAGAGATAATGGAGGCTGGCGACCTAGCGAATCAATTCGCGTATGTTTTAAGGGGTCGTCTATCCCAGCTTTTGTCCTTGGGTTTGGCTTAAGGATTTCGGTTGAACCATTTGTTTTTCAAGTTTCTCAGTGCTCGTTGTGTTGGAAATTTGGTCATACTCGTAAAACGTGCTCAGCTAAGAAGGTTGTCTGTCCTAAGTGTGGAAATAACCATGAAAATTGTGAAACTCAAATATTTAAGTGTGTCAATTGCTCGGGAAATCATATAGCCCTTTCTAAAATTTGTCCAACCTTTTTAAAAGAAAAAAAAATTCGGGAAATTATGGCGGATTTTGGCTGTACGTTCAGAAAGGCTTTAAATGTTTACGCATCGACTTTTACACCACAAAAACCTATCGAACGAGAAGTGAGTATTCAACCAACCACATCTTATGAGAATAAGAATCCTTTGGGCTTTAACCAGGGCTCACCTACTTTTGCAGAAATAGTTAAAACATCGGTGGAAATTCATGACATACAAAAAAAGAGTGAACAGAATAAAAGTTCATCTAATTTCATTGAGCACCGAAGACCACGTATGAAGCGGACACAAAGGGAACAAAAGGAAAACCAAAACACCACAAGTCAGTCGGATTACGAATTTATATATGCAGAGGTTGAGAGTCAAAAGGAAGAGAATGTAAGCGAGGATCTGAAATATGAGGGCAAATTAACTTTTAAGGAATTGTTATTGCGAGTAAAAGAAGTGTTATTTCTAAGTAAACTTAGCTTTTCTCATAAAGTATTTAATTCATCTAAATTAATTATTGAGTGGCTCGTTATATTTCTTTTTGAGCAGATAACAAAATGGCCTTTATTAGAGTTTTTAGTAGAATTAGTATGTAAGATAAAATGATGCCTAGAAGTATTAGCAATAGGAACATTATTCAATGGAATGCGCAAAGTATTAGACCTAAGTTGAGTTCATTTGTTGAGGTGTTAAATGAGGAAAAGATTCATGTTGCTGTTTTAAGTGAAACTTGGCTTAAACCTGACATTTATTTAAATATACGTGGGTATAATATTTACCGGCTAGATAGGCAAGATGGATTTGGTGGTGTTGCTATTTGTGTACACAAATCTGTGCATTCTTCACTACAACGTGTGCGGATAGACAATAGCGGTATGGAAATTTTATGTGTAAAGTTAAGTAATTTCAGTCCTATAGATTATATTTTATCAGTGTACTGTCCTCCCTCTTTGATTATAAGTAAAAGTGATTGGGATAGGCTTCTATCTTTGTATACTAAAAAAACACTAATATTAGGAGACTTCAATGCGCATCATAGTAATTGGTCGAATAAGATAGATTATAAGGGATCACTTATGTTTGATGCTTTAGTCGATAGTAACTTTATAACTTTAAATAATGGTGAGGCTACTAGGATGCGCTTGGTCAATGGGAGGCTTCAACAATCCTCACCTGATATTACCTTAGTTTCTTCAGATATTGCTTTACAATTCAACTGGAGGGTGATAAATGAAACATTGGGGAGTGACCACTTAATGGTGAAGGTTTCTTGTATTTCGAATTCTTTAATTAACCCTATAGTAAAGCGAAACTTTCGCAAAGCCAATTGGACTTCATATAAAAATGACACAGAGATATTGTTCACAGATCTCATTTTACCTGTAGATCTTCAAAAAGGTTATGATTTATTTATCTCTAAAATAAACGAGGCTGCTGCCAAAAATATACCTCTAGTTAAGTATAATCAGAACCCGGAATCTAAGTTTACCCCTAGATCTTTTTGGACAAAGGAATTATCCCATGAAGTAGCTCAGCGTAGACTTGCCCTTGCAATATTTCGACGGAATCCCAGCCCGAATAACTACATAAAACTTAAAAAACACATAAGTGTTGCGCAGCGAGATATTCGTTATGCTAGGAACAAAGATTTCCAGAATTCATGGTCTTCGGTGGATGAATCAACAACTTCCAATGAAATGTGGCATAAAATGTCCTGGATGAAAGGTTTTAGAAAGTCTAAGCGTCATATAAATGATATAGAAGCTGAAAAACTGCTTCGTTCATTAGCCCCTGATTACGTTTCCCCACCTTGTCCCGATATTCGAAGTACAAATATTACAATAGAATGCCCAATTTCAATTCAGGAGTTAGATAAATGTATTAAATCTAAGGACACATCCCCTGGATGTGACGATATATCATATTCAATGGTCAAAAATTTACATATGTCAGGAAAATTAATTCTTTTGTCTCTGTACAATATTTTTTTAACTCACAGCTTTGTACCGAAGCAATGGCGGGACATATGTATAGTACCAATTCCAAAGGCAGGACAAAATCAGGGTGACGAAAGATCCTTTCGGCCGATTGCTTAAATCTCATGTCTTTGTAAAATATTTCATTATATTTTATACAAAAGACTTGAGTGGTACATGGAAAAAAACAATTATTTTTCAGAAAATGTTTTTGGGTTCAGGAAAAATCGATCATGTTTGGACAGCTTGAGTAACCTCACATCAAGAATTCAAATAGGTTTTTCGAATGGATTATCAACAATGGCTCTTTTCTTAGATATTAAAAATGCATATAACAATATTGACAACAGTTCATTAATTGGTATTTTAGACCACTTCAAAGTTGGATCAAAAATTTGCAGATACTTGTTTAACTTTCTGAATAAACGTGTTTTAAATATTAAAATAGAAGGACGTTTGATAAGTAGATCAACAGGATGTGGGCTAGCTCAAGGTGATCCCTTATCCCCGCTTTTATTTAATGTAGCAACAATAAATATTTGCAAATATATTGAAAAAAAATGTTACATTTCGCAATACGCTGACGATTTTGTTGTATATGTTCACTGTTCATCAGCTCAGGAAGGTCAAATTAAAATACAATACGCCTTAGATTGTATCAATAAAATGCTGTCAACGCTAGGTTTAGATATTTCTCCAGAGAAAAGCAAGGTTTGTATATTTAAGAGGGGAAATTTCAGAGAAATAATAAATATTTTCTTGAATGGATGCCGGATAGATGTAGCAGACACTGTTAGGTATCTAGGATTATGGCTCGATCGAAAGCTTTTGTGGGGTAAACATATATTGGCAATTAAAGAAAAGATATTAAAATTTGTAAAAATTTTCAAATTATTGACTGGTCCAGGCTGGGGTGTACATCCTACACATTTAAGACATCTATAATATCTTTCGCTTATACGTAGCAGACTGGATTATGCAAGCTTCCTCTTTGACAATAGTTGTACAAGTAATTTAGCGAAATTAGATAAAATTCAAAATATATTTTTACGATTAATAGGCAGTTTTGTTAAAAGTACACCTATCCATATAATGGAGTCAGAATTAAATTTGTGCCCCTTGTCTATCCGCAGACGCTTTTTAGCAGGTAAATTTTTATTAAAAGTTATGTCATTTAGTAATAGCCCAATGCTAAGTATCCTTGAGACCTTATCCAACTTTACAAATGTTTTATTCTGGAGACGTAAGAAACAACCACTTTTGGTATCAGTATACAATTTTTTAAAGTGTAATGAAATTTATAAAAGTAGTCTTAATGAAATATTCTCTTTAGATATATGGCTCTCCAATTTAAATATAGATAAGGCAGTGAAACCTAATTTAGATATTGTTAATAAGCCTAAACATTGTTACGAACGCGATATATTGAAAATGATTTGTATTAAGACATTAAGTGTAGCATATCCAAATTATTATGAAAATTTATACTGATGGGTCTAAAGAAAAAGCAGGTTGTGGAGCGGCCTTTTTGGATTTAAAAACAGGGACATGTTGTAAATTTAGTATCAGTGCTCAAATATCTATAATGTTTGTTGAACTTATAGCAATTGCCGAAGCCATTTCGTACATCCAAACTATTGATTATCAAAATTTTGTGGTTTACACTGACTCTAAAAGTGCTCTTTTTTACCTTTTAAAGTGTACAATGAATTTTAGAGGACATCCTATTGCCTTTACGATTTTAAATAATTTAAATGAACTCAACACTTCAAATAAAAATGTAATCTTACAATGGATTCCATCGCATATTGGGCTAGCTGGCAATGAAAAAGTTGACCGTCTGGCCAAGGAAGCAATTTCTGAGGGAAGTCATTACGAATATGTACCTTGGTTTACTGACTATATAGGGGATTTACGGAAAAACTGTCTAAATTTGTGGTCAGAATATTTTGATGAGCGTTCCCTTACTAAAGGAATCTGGTACAAAACTATTCAGCTTAAACTTATGGGTTCACTATGGTTTGAATTAGAAAAGATAAGTAGACAAGAGGTTATCATTGCATTTCGCATTCGGTCTGGTCACATCCCTTTAAATAGTTTTGGTTACATGATGGGCAAAGTAAGTTCTCCCAATTGTGCCCTGTGTGGTACAGTAGAAGATGTCTATCATGTATTAGAAGAATGTGACCGAGTTAAAGCTCAAAGATCATTGATATTACCTCAACGTGGAAACAATGTTGGATACTGCAATAGTATTTTAGCTAATCCTTTGTCTAATAAAGCTAAGATGCTTTATAAATTAGTTAAATTAGTGATTAAACTTAGAAGTAAGTGAATTTATTATTTATATTATATGTATTTGTAAGCAATGATGAGGGTGACATTTTCGCTTTGTGAAAAAACCCTCTATAAAAATAAAGATTAAAAAAAAAATAAAAAAAAAAAACCTGAAATTTTAATCACGTATTTATTGAGTAATTTTCAATAGAGTCCGATTCACACTTGGCAAATTTTAATTTTTTTCTTAAAATTGAGTATTAATTAAAGATGTATAAAACAATAATTACGCTTGCACAATACAATTGGCAAATATATTTTTGGCAACTTGATTATTGTTTAATCTTTTAATTTAGGACTCGGAAGGGTTTTGTACTATTATCTATAAAAATAGCAAAAAAAATGACGTGTATTGTATGGGATCCCCCTTAAATATGTATTTTATTCTATTGTTTTGTATTTGTTGTTATAGTGGCAACAGAAATACATCATCTGTAAAAATTTCAACTGTTTAACTATCACGGTTCATGAGATACAGCCTGGTCACAGACGGATAGACAGACGGACGGACAGCGGAGTCTTAGTAACAGGGTCCCGTTTTACCCTTTGGGTATGGGACCCTAATAAACTACTCTAAAATACTCTGTTGTGAACGCAGAGCCCAAAGCATACTCGAAACGTGCGGTTTCTCGATAACCAACCACAGCGTGAGGACCTTGGGCCCCCTATCAGCTGCTGGCATACCTCGATAAGCTATCTTTCTCGCACCTATGGCTACGCATAAGACTTTTTTGTAGTACTAATTTGTAAACTATATTTACGTCTGGGAATGGTTTTACCCGGTAAATTATAACCGGTTTATTATTGAAAATTACTCAATAAATACGTGACTAAAATTTCAGGTTGCCAAAAGTATATTTTTTGGGAATTTTAATAAAGCATCTTTGGAGAGGTCTGGCAATACTTTATAACCGACAAAACTGAACTGAATTAAAAGATTAAATAAAAATCAAGTTGCCAAAAATATGTTTTTTTTGCAAATGTTATATACTGCGCAGTAACTAAATAAGCGCTAAAGCTATACCAGACTCGCGGGACTGGACTCGCCAATTCACGAAATTATATTTTTTCACAATTTCAACTTGCCAAAAGGACCTACCCAAAATTCGTCGCCAGCTCTCGGAATAAAACTTTACCTCTTTATGTTATTAGTATAGATTTTAGAAAATTATATTTATATCTAATATGTAAGGAAATTCACTAGTTTGAAAGAATCAATTTAATTTATTCCAGGCAGGAGCAAGTGATGTATGAAGCAGTGTCCGGGAAACTCGACGGTTGCAGTCAGCTATTACACTCAGTATTATCAAATATATCCATAGTATTTAACAACGTTAATACGGTTATTATAAGCCAAGATGTAAAAGCGAAATTGTAAATTTAATATACTTACCTACATGTAGAGTTGCGTCACATCCAACCGCGTTTGCTCCGTTGCTCGAAAAGAGCGTGATAAATCAAAACACTGTTGCATTTACCTATAGTATTAGTTAGGGTTTACCATCTTTCATTGTTTACTCAATAGATAAAAATAGTTATTGTGAATGTGTACCTTAAAAGATATATAATACTATCGCAGACTTTTTCCTGAAACTGTTAGTTCGAATTTTGCGTATCTTTTAAGGATTTTCGTGGTAGAACTAAAAATCTTGCCGGAATAAAACACCTATATGTAACCCAAGAATCTCTCTATCTTTCAGTGAATGACCCATTACAATCAGCTAAGCCATTCCAAAGATTACCCCAGACAAACAGACAGACGAACATGTAAAAAGGGTTGTTTAGGTACTGGTATCATGTAATCTACCTGAAAAACATAGTTATTTTGAAATCACAGACAGACACTTCCAATTTTATTTATATGTATATGTATGTGCTATATAAAATGTTTTTTTCCTATAATCTAGTCTTCTAATTATAAAATATCTATGCATATGTTAACGACATAAATAAATAAGAACATAAAACCAAACCCTTTCATTCTTTCGATAGGAAATAAACGTACAAATCTAAAACGAAACAACAAAATAGAATACTAATTAGCAAATAACTCAATAATGAAGTAACATTTCCTTAATAGATTACACAGTTTTGACAAAGTTCCCAATATACATAGCTTGATCTAACATAATTATCTAATATAAATGGACTTTAGTTTAAATAAAATATAAGTAGCAATTTTTAAGTTTTGATGGTGCAGAATTATGTGGCATATAGTATTTATGTAGAATAATGTACTGTGGAAGTGATTTACAATTTTTGTCTTTGTTAATGAATTGGAATATGGGAAATAAATATATATGTATATGATTAGTAAATTTTAAAATAAGGTTGAGCCTTGTCTTCGGAATGTATGACGACAACATGAAGACATTGTTTAGCAATAAGATAATAGAACTTTTGTGGCATAATGCTAACCGCCGCCATTTGAATTTTTCTCTAAACGCTTGTGTAAAGTTTTCTCTAAATGCCTAAATATGTGTTGTGCCTTATGTTTGGCGATTTTTATCTCCAAATATCTTGGAAACGTGACGTGATATTTTTAATTTGTTTACGTGTTCTTTATTCATACACTGCAGTTTAATCCTGTGTCACTACTGAAAAACAAAATGGCAAGCAGTTCGCTATTGTCAGTTTCCATAGCTAATTTCATAACAAAAATATACCCTGAGCTTACTATGTCATTTATTTTGCTGTGGCATTATTATTTATTACATTATACATGTATATTATAAGAATCCAAGTTGTTACAATCTAAGTATTATTTATGCAAACTGAAAGTAAGCCCTAGTATTAAATTGTCAAGTAGCTGTGATAGTTATTATTTATATATTGGTTAATTATTTGTTTCTGTAACTAAACGATGGCTTTATTTAATAAATGAAATTTAAACTGAAAACGTTTTATTTTGTACCAACTTTTTGCATCGCCGTTTAATAGCGTTTAAACTAGTGATTGCCATTTAATTTAATTTCAAGGCTTTAAAAATAATGAATACTGAGTAAATAATGTGATTGAAAAAATAATCTTAATATGTATTTTAAGTCTCCCTTGTATCAAGTTATAACGAAAAAATATACAACTTTATTTTCAATCTTTTATATTTACAAGGAAAATATTATTTTAAACAAAGTACACGCAGCGATGTCTTACGGCAATTGCGTACATTTTCACAAAATTTGAACTTCTACAAAAAAATGCGTTACGATTTTCTACCATAACATTAATAACCTTAACAATTAAAAATATCAGTCGAATACCGAAACAATACAAATGTTTTACGCACTTTTTAAAATCATAATATAAATAAAAAATATATAAACAATGGATTTCACTTTTATTAAATTAATAATTTTCATCTTTTTTATGCTAATACAATCAATGTATATAAGTTACTTTATATAGTTTATGTAATTTTATCAATACATTTAAATACGTCAATTCAAACTTCAAATAAGTTATATATTATGTACATTTTATTATATATTATACAAGTTAAGATAACGCTGCATTCAAAAGAGTATTCTAAGAACTATGCTTGCTCTACATGCATGTTTAAACTAACCCTAGGTGGGTCCCGGGGCGTCCAATGTCTCGAAGTCAACAAAATTTACAAAAAATCCCGTTTTTTTTGTAAATTTAGTTGTCTCGGGTCTTTAGAGACTTTCGGGTCAAGAGATATTTTTTTACAATGAATTTGAGTAAAACAGCATTTAGTATGTTTGCGGAAGAACTGTGTGGCATATTTTTTTAAAATATCACTCATATCCAAGCAGCCATAATTGGAAATAATGGAATCTAGTAGCAGTAAGCTCGACAACTGTACACAAAAACCCGACGAGTCGTTTCCAAGTAAAATTGAACAGACAATAAAAAAATCGCTGGAAGTGTACCTGAAAATCTAGCAAAAAAATCAAGGGCAACATTAAAAAACGAGCTGCAATTATTTGAAGCATTTTTAAGTTTGCTTTAAAATTATACGATTTTACAGCCAAAAACGGAATTTGTGATTATAAGAATGAAATATAGAAATAGTTGTTTATACTGTAAATGACGATGTTAGAATTTAAAACATAAAATATGTTCAATAAGTGTGATTTTTACTAAAATTAAGTTTAAACTAAGTGTAGAGTTCATTCGAAATATTTATTACTGAATAATTAAATGCTATATTTTGAGTTGTGCGTTTAACGTATCTAAGAATGTCAATTCTGGTATAATTTTTTATATATGTCGTTTGATACAATGGTAATAAATCGATTATATCATTTTAATTTCTATTTATATTTAATATCTGTAATTAGTTATTTCTAATAGTTTTAACAGCTACATAGTGCAGTTAGTTAAATTACTACATTTAGTTACGTTATGATGAAAGAGCGTATAACAATAAAGAACATATCAAATATCAACCCAAGTTTTAGATTTTAATAAATTTTTAATAAACTAACTAAATTCTACTTGTTTATAATAATTTTAAAAATCACTAAACAAAATTATTACAAGATTAAGTAGCCAAAGCGGTATCATTAGACTTAAATTGCCTAAAATTCTTTCTACAACAATTATAACAGTTAAAGTACCATTGGCTCTAAAAATAAATATATACATTATGTATACATACTCGTATCATATCCATACATGGCGTTAGTAAATTATCAAGACGATTTGCAAAGACCTATGTTGGCACCTAAACTATCTTATATTATAACAACAGCGAACCCTAATAGCTTATCTATCTGTGGTTTTCCTTACTGGAGTTAGACATTTGCTAAAAAAATGGTTACTTAGGGAGATTTTCTTTTATTTCGTCGTTGCAACTTAGAATATCACTGCGACCATTCCTGGTCTATATGATCGCCATGTTTAATAAGGGAGATACTGAGAGTAACAATTTTCGTACAATCTCAAAAATTATAAATAAATACATTGTGATATTAGGACGGGTCAACTAGTAGATATATAATAAATATTAAATATAAAACTACTACAACTTAAACTTTTAAATAGGTTTTAAAAACACAACATAAAATGAATAAATGCACGCCGCATATGGATACACTTATCACAACAATTATTAAAAATATTTTTACACAACATTCCTGACAAGTTTATTGTAATTATCGGGCTACACTTGAGTTATTACGAAGCTTCGCGTTTATATAATTATCTCACTTTTTAGTGATCATTTTTGATAGATTTTTAAATTTTCACTTATTTAAATTTATGTGAAATATCCTAATGGGCTCTTGCAATATGCAATAAAGTGCAAAGCTTGGTAATAACAGAGGCAATGCGACCCAATACTAACTCATAGTATGATGTGTTAAATCATATATAAGATGGATATTCAGCCATGTTTGAGGGTCTGGTTGATGAAGAATGAGCGCACCTCCATGGGGCAGAGCGCGAGCGCGGCGCGCGCCGGCGCCCGCACGCGCGCGAATGTCAGCGTGCTGTCGAATATTTGCTCTTGCTTCACGTCTATTAAGTCTGACAATGTGATCTGTGGATGGAAATGATGTGTGATGAATTTAGAATTAGATCTATTTTAATGACATTCGATGTGTATTGTAAAACAATGATACACTTTTCCTGTATTAATCGTTATAATGTTAATCTATACTAATATTATAAAGAGGTAAAGTTTGTGAATTGTGAGTTTGTGACGTTGTAGGGGGGTAATCTCTGGATCTACTGAACCGATTTAGATGAAATTTGTCAAGAAAATAGTTTGAAACCCTGGAAAGGACATAGGATACTTTTTATCCTGGAAATCATCCCTTAAGGGGGCGAAAATGGGGATGAAAGTTTGAATAGGGAATCAATCTAGGGACGAACCCGAGCGAAGCGACGGTAAGTCGCTAGTAAATCATAAATAAATAAAAGCATAAGAAAATGCGCCCACCTGTCCGTCGCTGGGCGGGTACCAGGCGCGCAGCGCGGCGCTGCCGTAGCAGGCGTCGAGGTGCGCGCGCTGTAACGTCACGCCCATGCCGTGCACCACCGTGCCGTCTTTGCTCTGATACATATTGATAACGAATATTAAAAATAACATTTGTATTATTTTCAGAGGTTGCTACTTAGGCGTAATGGCTCGAAATAGGAATAAATATTCTTATTTCAAAATTAATAATAAAATTTAAACTCATAATAATCAAATTCCAAGTATAAAAAACTGAATAAATAAATAAAAGACGAGAGTATCTCAAGACATACATACAATTGTTACCTTAACCAATTGTATTAAAATTTAATCCATGTTATATAAAAGCGGTGGGTTTAATACAATACATAAATAGACAACTGGTTATAGACATAAAAAAATAAGTACGTGTAACCTTTACGCGCGGTTGAAGTAAAAGTTCTTTGATAAATATTGCAATCAAATTAAAACAAATCAATAATTAAATAAGGCATATTCGGCATGTTACAATCATATATTTTTAGAATATCTTTTAATGAAAGAAAATTAAAATTAAAAGATTAAAAGAAAAAAATAATAATATTGTATATATATCATTTGTCAGACAAATAACAACGGTTACCATGGCAACAATTAATCATGAATTCTATCTCATTCTCTCGCTGGCTTAATCTTATATATTTCATTTATGTGTTCGTCTCTTTCTCGTGTCTCGTGAGTTTCAAATCACGATTCTAAAATTATAATCCTTAATTCACAAACCTTGGCGGACACGTGCGCGTGGTACTGCGCGAGCACGAGGTCGGGCGCGCTGAGCACGGCGCGCGAGTAGGCGGGGCGCGGCGCGCTCTCGTCGGCCGCGTAGTGCAGCGCCAGCGCCGGCTGCAGCAGCAGCTGCTGCGACACGTGCGCGCCCAGCGACAGCTGCCCACTGCCCTCAGAGGACTTCGCCTGTACGAGGGAAACTATACTAATACGTGAAGCAAAAACTTTGTATCCCTTTTTAAGAAAATTACGCGGACGTAGGAATGTGAGTTTGTATGGAGATATTATGGCGTAGAAAGCTAATATTTTTATACAAAATACATTAAATTAATTAAAATAAACATTATATTTCTGAACCGATCTGATTATTTTTTGTTTTAGTTTAATAGCTTTAGTTTCATAAATAAAAAAAAAATCAATAATAATCATGGTCGAAGTTCGACCACTCGGCGAACTCTAGTCACTTTAAACCGGCTCTGTAAAGGAAATAAAATTCTCAGTATATAAATTCATACAGTAGGCGATTGTCTGTGAAGTTTAGCATAAGTTCTTTTAGATGCAAAGCTACTAATTTTTACGATGAACGGATTAGAAGTTAAAGCGCTGTAGTGCCGTCTCGTGGCAAGTTACAGTTATACCCGTCACTCATTTTCAAATGTTTAATAACAGACATGGGTCGCGGGCTAAAGTATTTATACGTATGAAAAGTCATAGCTATTAAAAAAATGCACTTAAATTTCACAAATCACATAGAACAGCCCAAGTGTCTTGTGAATCATAAGTAAATATTAATTAAAATATAGTATTAAAAACTAATAATAACACATTAGAGAGAAGTTCCACTATCCTAATGTCTAATGTATATCAAATTATTTGATTATCAACCGATTCAAAATCGATACGACAGACAAAAATAGGTCAAAATGGACTTCCAAAATTTTATTAATTATATACAAGAGTAGCTAATAAAAGAATGTTAAAAGTTCTCATGGGTGTTAGTGACTGACCGCGCAGGGGTGGTTGGCGTGTTCCACTATGAGTTTGAAGACGTGTCGCGTGCGCTGGTTCTGCAGGACGCCTTGGTTGAGACCGCGGTTGTCGTCCTTGCTCAGTCTACGGTCTTGCATCACCTGGAAATAGATGAAAAATAATATTTATTGTAGGAATTTTAGCAAAAGCATAATATTTCTAAGAATATGTAGTTTTATGATATTAATCCAAGAACGATACACTTACAAGTAAGGATGTATTTTACATAGACCGATGCGCCCCTAAGTGGCAAAAAGATTTAACTAGGTAGGTTGCGTTCCACTTCTATCATTTAATGTATTATTCATGAGGAGCTTATTATCAATTGGATTACAAATATTTATTGGCGTACATTTTTTTATATATATCATGTATTCTCTATTCTACATGTCATGGCGAAATGTCAAGTTTGACTGTTGGCTGTCTTATGCCTATAAGGCAGCCAATAGTCGTTAATACCGATCGATTTGTATAATTTATAGAAATCTGTTATGCAAAGTTTGAAAAGTCAGTTAAATACAATTTATTTTTAATATTAAACTGGATTTAATATTTAAATTATGTTCACGCATCTAACGCCTCGGTGGAGCGATAGATCGATCCACGGGGGCAGGGGAACCCCGGTAGTCGTCACTACATTCCCTTCGATGGACGATACGAAGACGGCGCACGCGCACGTTATCTTAGCACTAATAATTATTGTAAACGTAATAAACTGATTTGTTGGAAGAAAACTTAAAGTTTTCCTTGTTGCCCAAAGAGGTTATAATACCTCAATCTGTCCCGGCTGCAAGGCGGCCATTCCGAGGGGGGTGGAGGTTAGCAGGGTGAGTCTGGTGTTGTCGTCCTGTATGTACGCGGCGGCGGGGAGCGGGTAGAAGTTAGCTTGCAGTGGAAGCTTCTCGAAGTATCGTCGCTTTATCATCTGTTTGATTCACCATAATTAAAATAATTATTAAAATAATTGGTAATTTTTGTAAGTCCTCTGCTGTGCTGTATATTTATGTAATGTTTGCATTGCAATTTTTCATGTTTGAATGTAAATAAAATAGCAAACACTAACGGAATAGCAATATCTTATATAGTAAAAATATTTTTTTATTTATATATTAAGCGTGTGATTTAATATAAATTTAGAAGTTTATACTAAACAAAACGTGGTCACCTTCGCTCCAACTAGAAGCTCCCCTAGATGAGTTTCTTCCGACATAATTCAAAAATAACATCATACCGGATGATTATTATTTTCACAAATTTTTTATAAATAATTATAAGCTTCATAACTCCACATTCTATTGTTCAAAAACCGTATAAAAATCGGTAAAGTAGTGTCTGAGATCAGCAGTAATATACTCAAACCCAACTACTAAATAATATGTATTGGCAAATCACCTGCATGCCATTAAGATCTGTATAAAACACGTCCCCATTCTTAATACCGGTGGAGAACCTCATGGCCAGTTCCAGGTCGTCCACTTGAGGGTCTATGAGTAGCGTGTTGCTGATTTCCACCTCAGTGTGAGGCAGCGACGGATTATTGTACAAGGTTATCTGGAATAAATTGTTAAATTAAAATACTATTGGTTTATTTTAATAAAGTTTAATACTATAATATTAAAACTATCTTTTCGGATTTTTTCGCGAAAAATAAAACTATCTTTTCGGATTTTTTCAATGACTGTCATTTTTTCAATGAATGTGAATGTTAAGTATTCGCGAAATCTAAGAAAGTATTACTATAATATTATTTCTATAAATGCTTAATGCAACACTTGTTGAAACAAAGTAATTTATAAAAGTACTTATAAAGAAATCTCAAATCTTCTTTTCCTCATACAAAGTTTTAATTTCATTTTTGACCCATTTAAAAGGTATAATTGTGATAGTAAACATAATTCTCTCATGATCGAATTATGGTAATGGCTGACCATTATAGTGAGACATTATATATAGTGCCCGCTTGTTTATTTCTATTACCGTCCTCATAGTACAAAACACTCGCAGAAAGTACATATGTGTATAAACATGATGGTTTAACAAAAACCAAGACTCGAAAGTAGCACCTCATGAATCTCATATTACCGTACAAACTACTACATTTTCTTCTCATACAAATATGCACTCACAGCTAACACCATTTCCGCAGCTTTTGGCCCTATTAAGCCTGAATACAGTGTGGCTTTGAATGGTCCTTCAGTGATGACAATTTCCGGGAAGGGCTCCGGCTTGAAGGGCGTGGCGGGCCCGTCCGGGATGAACAGGTAGGCACCGCTGTTGTTGTCTTGCCCTTTTTGTGTATCATATCTGGTGGATATTAAAAATTATACATTATATGAAATTATGTCACTAAAAAATTTATTTTATTTATATAAAATATAGGGCGAATTGCCCGCGGCTACACCCGCGTACAGATGACCATAAACCAAATTCTTAAGTTTTACATATTAGTATACTCTTACATTGCAGTTTTTGTATTTTTTCTCAAAAATGAGATATTTTTTTCGCGGTAACAATTATCCTATATGTTGACCCGGATAACCAGCTACCATCATACCAAATTTCATCAAAATCCCTCTAGTGGTTTTTCCGTGATGGGGTAACAGACAGACAAAAATTCTAAAAATTATACATTCGGCCTCTGTATCGATAATAATGTCTATTTCAATAATATTTTCCAAAAAATATTTAATGTACAGATTCGGCTTAGTTACAATTTTATTATATGTATAGATTTTGTTTGGATGTTACATTCTTTTTATTTCTAATGGTCCAGGCTTAGAACGAAGATATAGGTGTTTTAGAAATGCAAGTAATCTTAATAGGTTCCATTTTTTTGGTTTATAGCTCAAACTCCAAGCTAGTTTTCATACTTCTGCCACGTGGATGGGATAAAAGTAATATGAAAGTAAATTGAATGCAGTAGAAAATCAGAAGTTAATAGAAAAAGTAGTAAACGAGATCTCTAAAGAGAATATAGCAGTAGATATGTACTCACTGCACAAAATGCATATAGTCATGGTGGTCCCATTGGACCCCATTAACCCTTTGAGCACTCCGTGGGTATACTCACTGTACAAAGTCCATATGTATAGGCGTAGTGGTCCCATCGGGCGCCACCAGCGCCTTGAGCAGGCCCGTGTGCGAGACGAGCGCGCGCGTGCCGTTGCCGGGCCGCAGCGCCACGTCGTCCGCCAGCCGCGCCGCCGCCTGCTGCGCGAACACCTTCGGCAGCTCCACCGACCAGTACTCCGCGTTGTACAGCCGCACGCGTGCGTATGATGTGTATCTATAGAATTTTATATACATGTATAATGTATTATATAATACACCGAGGCAGTTTATGTATATTACATGTGTATAATAATTTTACACACGTGTATATTTTTTTTTAGAAAAAATTTGACAACGTCAAAACAAAATTGGGAAATGGGCAGGGAGAAGAAGAAGAAGAAGAAGTATAAACTGCCTCGGTGGTGTAGTGGCTAGCATGTACGGCTGCACACTCGGAGGTCCTGGGTTCGAGTCCCGGGTCGGCCCAAATTTAGTAATTGAGCCTTTCTGTATAGCAAGACTCAGTAACAGCTCGGAGTTGGGAAGTTGGCGGTGTTTCACACCCGTGCCTCGGAGAGCACGTAAAGCCGTCGGTCCTGCGCCTTAACTCTCACCGGTCGTGTCGAGTGGTCGTCCCACCGGAGTATGAGAGTGACAGGAATAGAGAGTGCACTTGTGTCTGCGCGTATACGCGCTGCACTATAATATCTCCTGCGCAGTTGGCTAATCTCAATGAGACTGGCCGCCGTGGCCGGAATCGGTCAGGAGAACATCATCATTATATGATACTCGTTCATCTATAAATTATTTGAAAAAACTTTTATTGAATTATATGACATCTATCTAAGAAAATAATAAGTATTAATAATATTAACTTGTTAATGGCCATGTTGTCTCTCAAGGACACGGTGTAGACGGTGAGCGCGAGCGCGTCCACCGCCACCGGGAAGGACAGCTGGAACTTGTTCGCGGCGAAGCCCAGGCGTTTCTCGCCCGCCACCACCGGCGAGATCTGCGCCATCATGGGGTTGCCGTCCGGGTCGAACACCTGGGAGAATGTTATTTTGTCAGTTTGTATGTAGGGGGTTATCTGTAAAATTACCGATCAGGTGGACTGTCTGCCCGTTTGTCACTGAACACCATAAAAAAAACAATACCACAATTGAACAGAATAATTACTTGAGTTAAATTCAGCAGAACAGTATTATTTAATATTTTATGCGAAATCTATATATACGAAATACCTTTAATTACCCGACGAAAAAACAGGAGGAGTTCTCAATTCGACACATATATTTTTTATGTTTGACCATGCATAACTTTTTACAGTGTAGTCCGATTTCGAGGATTCTTTTTTTATTGGATAGGATAGGTAACCTCAAAGTTTCGAAGTCGCTGCCAGCCGATACAAATTAAAGCACACCGACTTCGAAAATATCTGATTACGTATCTATAGTAAATGAAAACTACTAATCAATAATTTTTTACTTTTTAGTACTTGTTTTTGAAGACGGTTATTTTTAAAAATTTTAATATTCTAGACCTTCCTTTTCGTCTCTTATCTCAAATGTGTACAAATATTATCTATACTAATATTATAAAGAGGTAAAGTTTGTGAGTTTGTGAGGTTGTAGTGGGTAATCTCTGGATCTACTGAACCGATTTAGATGAAATTTGGTAAGAAGATAGTTTGAGAGCCTGGGAAGGACATAGGATACTTTTTATCCCGGAAGTAATATATAAAATACTTTAGTAGCATAATATAAAAATATACCTCAACATGAGGCGTAGAGACGAACACAGTAAAAATCTCGTATCTCTTAAAAGCCAGTGCGTTATAAAGCAGTATCCGCCTCGAGGGCGACATCACGTCCAAGGCGATGGTAATCCTGGTCGGTATCTCGTCGTGTTTGCGCCAGATGTCGTCCACGTCGAAGTACACGTCCTCCTGCGTCTGGTCCTGTATGGCGGGCTGCTTGAGCAAGTAGTACGCGGCTTGTTGGATCGCTGACTGACAGTATTTGATTGCTTCTAACATTCTGAAAATATATAACAGAGGTTAATGCCTTTTGTATGTGCTACTGTGTATGTTGAAATTTAATATATTGTTATGTGAGTGTGAATATAGGCATATTTTCAAATTAGTTTTTATTGTTTTAGCGGAAATTATAATAATAAAGAAAAAAAAAGAAAAAAGCTAATTAAAGAGAACTAATGCCTAAGAATACAAAAGTATACATCTAAGATTATAAAATGATTTACATTTTATTTTCAAAATTGTATATTAATTTAACTAATACATATGTATGTATATAAAATTTCCATAATCTATAAAAAAAGTGAATCATTTGTAAGGCAAAGTCGAGAATAGTAGAATAAACAGCATATCACGCAACTATTGACTTTGAAATTTATTTCGGCGGACTCCATTTATACAATTCTTTAGTCTGAGTGACAAACGTACCTTCTTGCATAGTTGTGAAATCGAATGAAGCGGGTTCAAATCTCGGGTCTTGCACCATATTTTCTTTTGCGAATCATTTCTAACATAAATACACTTGTCTTACGTTGAAGAAAAAAAAATGTGTGGAAACCTGCATGTCTGAGAACCTAGCAAGCATGGGCGTACCCAGGTAGTGGGTGGCAACTGACACCACCCCCACCCCCCTGGATCGTGTATGTCTACGTACCTACTTTTGTCGATAAAGTTATGCTTGAGTCAGGTTACGAGTGTTACGAATTACTTTACAATATATTACGAGTGTGTTACCTTATAAAAAAAAATGCGCTGCGAGTCCGGTTAACTTGTGTTCATACAACACGCTAGAGTAGCAAGCGAGCGGCGAGCTCCACGCTTGCCAGCCACTCGCTGCCGCGCCAACGACTTGCGAAGATTATCGAATCTAGTCTAGCACTTGTGTACTGGCTTGCGAGCTGGTATTTGACATGTTATTCTTTTGAAAGAACCAAACGTAGATGACGAAAAATAATCAATGTCCATATCTATACATATAATAAATTGTAACTGATCGTTGTCTGTACATGGGAGATATTTGAGAAAAACTATTACTGGGGGTTTTAATTAACGCGATAGAACCCAAAACAAATGATATTTAGAATTTTTGTCCGTTTGAGCGCGCTAATCTCAGAAACGGATTAACCGATTTGGATACGGTTTTCACGAATGTATTTTATGGCAAGCTTCACTTAAATTCATTTAGAATTTGTTTTATTTGAATCGACTCATAAATAAAAAGGTTATGTCAATTTAATAAAAAAACACAAGAAACATTTATTGGAAAAAAAGTTGTGTATACTTATTATATACTTCTTTGTTTTTTTAGAGCATTTAAATAAAAGCTTGTTTTTTTAAATGTTTTAACTTTTTCTAATGTTCCTTACTTTTTTTCGTATTCTTCTCAGCAAACCCTTTCATTTGATATGTATACATATCATGGGGGTGCAAAATAAACAGTCCGTCATATTAAATTGTATAATGACGTCACTTTTCTTATTGTGTTTCGCTCATCAAGCCCTTTCATTTGATACCCATATCATATGAGTCGCTATAAAATAATAAATCACCATTTTGTAACGTCCGTCCGTCGTATTGGATTAAAAATGGCAGAATTCAGGAAATCATGCAGTCATGAGAGTCAAACGTGTGTGCCAAATTACAGCTCAATCGGACAATTGAAAGTGGGTCAAATTTAACTTGTAAGATTTGATTACAGTCAGACACCGAGACAGGTGAAACTAAATAAAGCCTTGTAATATTTTTTATATTTATTGATGTAAAACACGTGTTGTTTATATAGAAATGCCAGAATATATATCTTGAATATAGACATCTCACTATACTAAAGGGAGATTTAATGACTAGCTTCACATTGTAGTCAATACCCCTAACTGTACCTATACTATAGTCTAAATCTGTCGTATCGTAAAAAAATTACTCTTATCATCCATTTTTCATTTTTCATAACGCGCCAAAAGAGGTATAACTTTAAAAATGCTATAAAATACTGTTCTGTTGATTTGGCTGAAACTTTGGTTAATTATATTATATGTAGTTTGTAAAACGATGATGAATGTAAGACATCTATATGGTTGCGCATATTAAACAGCGTTTAGCTTAAACTGGGCGCGCTTCTGTCGAATGCTAGCGCACCCTGGTAACAGCTAAAACTCGGCTTATTTTATTTTTTTAAATAATTAATGTTCGGTGCAAAAAAATCTAAATCCATGAAATTGTGAACAAAATCCGCGTAGGTACCTAGGAATGCACCCAAGCGAATCGAGGATAAGTCGTATGTCTACCTGTATGGAAATACCTATATGGTATTTAAAAAATCTGGTTGATATTGTGTGCAGTGTGCAATCTGTTGAACAGTAATAAAGTGCCCGCTAAATAAAAATTTACATTCGGATTTTTTTTGTCTTTATGAAGTGTGTAGGGTAAAACAAGCACAGGGGATCAGGCAGACGCGGATCTAGAGTTAAATTTTGGGGGGATCGCTGGAATAGACATAATAAAACAGTAACTTAGCAAAATCTGTATATGAAATATTTTTTTTAAAAACTATGACTTTTAAAAAATAAATAATCAAAACCTTAAGTTTCATGGCTTTAAAACTTTAGCAGGTATATAAGGAACAAACATCTGTATAACGTCCCCGCTGTCCAGCTAACCCCGAGAAATGGGGGGATGTAAAACGTTGAAAAATTTGTTTTTTTTTTTCAATTTCTGGCACGCTGTGACATCCTATCGAAAATATTCTTTACAAAAGTTGTAGGTCTAGTGAAAATCTACGACTTTTACAATAACCTCAAAGTTTTCGACATATTTCCAAAAAAAACGTTTTATATTTCTTCTCGTTTTTTTTAATTTTAAATTTTTGCAGTTAATATTTTGATTTTATTTGAAAATTAAATTAGGAAATTTGATTTGAAAATACATAAAATATCCAATTTTTTAGACCCTAACAGGATCCACGCTTAGGACCAGGTTTAATAAATTTCTGTTTTGCCTCCCCCTGGACAAAAAGCTGGGTACGCCCATGCTAGCAAGTTTTCGAAAGACATGTGAAATTCGTCAACCTGCACATGCCCAGCAGTGGGACTTTAAAGGGCTGAATACTATAATTATCTAGTGTCGTTCTATAATATCTCCTCCGAACATGATTAGTGTTATCATTACCACCAATACAATAAGAAACAACAAGATACCGTCTCCCATAGTCGTCGTGCACATCGTCCCTTGCGGTGCCGGTGATGCCGTCGTGGTGCTGGAAGAGCGCGAGCGCGCGGCGCGCCTGCTCCACGCGGTCGCGCAGCTGCAGCGACGTGATGTAGCTCACCGACTGCGAGGACGACGCTTGACCCGTTATTATTTCTGCCGCCCTGTTTGTAAATATTATCACTACATAGTATAAAACAAAGTAGCTTCCCGCTGTCTGTCTGTCCCTAAGTATTCTTAGTTATTTAAAACTACGCAACGGATTTTGATGAGGTTTTTTTTAATACTCATTCAAGAGGAAGGTTTATATGTATAATACATACATATTATATACAGAAAATCTGAGACATTCAAAGATTTGTATTTCATACCAACCATTAAAACGTACCTAGGGACGAACCCGAGCGAAGCGACAGTGAGTCGCTAGTATTATCTATACTAATATTATATAGAGGAAAATTTGTGACGTTGTATGGGTTAATCTCTGGATCTACTGCACCGATTTAGATGAAATTTGGCAAGAAGCTCGTTTGAGACCCTGGGAAGGATATAGCATACTTTTTACCTAGGAAAATACACGGTTTCCGTAGGATAGATTTTTTGTTTTTCACTAGGGACGAACCCGTGCGGAGCGAGGGTGAGTCACTAGTAACATAAATAAATATAATATACAAAATGTAAGTTACCTAACATACGCTAAAAGAACTCTATCCATTCTCTTATAGAAGGGTCGCGATGTGTAGTACCCACTCCAATAGTGCTGGTTGCGGTCCGCATATGTGAAGAAGTCGCCCGTTAGTACCGGGAAATTGGACATCTCGATTTCTTCGTGTAACGCTTTAAAGTAATCCTGGAGAGTCCCGAACTGGACCTATAAGATTTTATTTATTATTAATCTTTGTTGTCAAAAAAATTAAGTTTATAATATATTTTATATCTAAAGGTATGTACGTAATCATTGTATTTATAAGTTTTACTTTTCTAGCAAGCGTGTTTCCACATAACAACCAGGTTTAAAAAAAACCTAGTGTTTTCTATACAGGTATTATCAATAAAACATTTCTATTATAGGATAACACGAAATATGATAATGGAGAAAACCGCAATACTTAACATCGAGAAAGTGTTTCAGAATGGCTAAGAATCATAATCCATGACATTAGTTACTTAATATAATATATTATGTATTTTCTACACGAAAAATAACATACACTCGAATCCAGTAAAACCACCACATACCTCAGCATTCCAAGCATCATTGCCATTAATGTAATCGATGATCTTCTCGTAGTTCTGGTACTGGTTGTCCCACTCGTTGGAGCGATCGTAGCGGAAGTCGTCGCCCAGAGGCACGAGCACCACGTTGCTGCGGTACAGCTGCGCCTTCTTCCGCCACTGGTCCAGGATCATGAACGATCTGAATGACAGGAAAATTTGTTTATTTTAATAAGCTGTGCGCTATAGGGGGGTTTACTGGGATTTTTAAATGAAAAATTAAAATATTTAATGACCGAACAGCACGCAGTCTAACGATTTGTTGCTAGATTTTTAAAATCACCGTCTGTGCTACACGTGACATATGACATGACGCCTGACAGAAAAAAGAGCATTACGTTGGTCTATGTTACGTTGCTTAAAATAACTTAATTAAATGGCGCGTCAACATAAGCTAGTAGTGTTTTATGATCTAAAACGGGTTATTTACAATGTTTTTCACTTACTTTTAGATGTTGACCTGTGCAAATGGTAACAAACTTTTTTGAAAATTGCTGAGTTTGCTTGAACTAGCCGAAAATACCTTAACGGTCCTTTTACGGATTACGCTTTGAAGTAGCTTTAAATTTACGACTGAATTATAAATAATAATAACTAAGTTGTAAATTTTACCTTTCATCAACATTCTTCGGGAAAATTTTTCTAGGTGGAATACCCCACGGGCACGATACTCCATTGCCGGGTAATCTTTTAAAATCAAACTGGCAGCAGACCTATGAAATAGAGGTCATCATAAAAATATATTTATTTCAGTATTATATTTTTTATTATAAATGATTCTATCCTACCTTGGCAGGATTTCATTGAAATTAGAAATTATTAAATGATAATTTTTAACCGACTTCCAAAAAGGAGGAGGTTTTCAATTCGTCGGAATTCAGTTCAGATAATTGAAGTCATCTTAAAAAAAATACCTTGGGGTCCGGCCCGCAAGTGTGAGGCACGTCGTAAGAATAGAAAGGCATTAGATGTGTGAACATGTCGGTATTTCCAACGCCATCTGTAAAATAATTGCTTAATTATTATTTTTTATATTTAAAAAAAAATGTCATTCAATACAAAACATATATAGAGCTCATGTTTACTATTTGCACTTATAATTGGTCTATAAAATGCCCAAATTTGAAGAATGCTGGTTTAAGGTTTGTTTAAATTATAAATATATTAATAGTTTTCAGATATTTTATCAATTCAATAGACACGGACGAAGTACACTCTAAAACTACCTACTGGAGGCATTTAAATTGCATTCTATTGTTGGTACAAATCGTTGTTCTAAATCTAAGTACTTAGGTACAGTAAGTTTCATTTAACTCAGTAGAAGAAAATCATGATTAATGATTTTAGAATGAATATGATAAATACGTGGGATTCGATTCATAGGTACTTGACTTGTACTTCTATATATATATATATATATATATATATATATATATATATATATATATATATATATATATATAGTACGGTAAAATAATAACAGGTATAAAAGGTCATTGACAGTTTAGATGTGATAACATTTATTAACGTTATTAATTCACAAAAAAGAAAATTAAAAAACGTTATTATAATTCTTGTCATAATCATTTCTATTGTTCCATAAACTATATAATAAAAATAACATAAACACAAAAAAAATATTATTTCTTTATTTTGGAACAAAATTAGACATCTGTTTCGCTCCAAGGTCCGTTTATTACTCCTTTAATTATAGCAAGTACAACATATAGGTACCGGACCGGTAAAAGACACCTATATAAATAAACTTATGAAGCAAAATCTTATCTAAACAGAAAATTTGATCCAAATCGATAGATCCGTCTCCGAGATACACACAATAAATTTATAATATTAGTAATAAAATTGCTCATTTTATATTTTAAGATTTTATATTAATATAGATTCCCCATACTGACTTTCATCCCCATTTTCACTCCCTTAAGGGAGGATTTCTGGGATAAAAAGTATTCTATGGCCTTCCCAGGGTCTCAAACTATCTTCTTACCAACTTTCATCTAAATTGGTCGTCATCCACAGACTACCCCAACAATCTCACAAATTTTATTTCTTTATAATATTAGTATACATTATTATATCAAAGTACAGAAATTTTCTTTTTATCTTCTAATTTATCTTATATCATATATGTATTATGATGAATAATTGAATTCTAAAAAGAGTATTTGGGTAATTTTTATCTATATATATAAAAGAAAGTCGTGTTAGTTACACTATTTATAACTCAAGAACGGCTGAACCGATTTGGCTGAAAATTAGTGGGGAGGTAGCTTAGAACCAGGAGACGGACATAGGATACTTTTTATCCCGTTCGACCGCGTTCCCGTCTGACATGACATAAAACTCAAGAATGGGTGAAACAATTTTTATGACATTTGAATGTTTGGATTTCTCTTAGTCTGGAATAGGTTAATAAGTATTAAAACACCAGAAAAATCACGAAAAAAAAATTAAGATTTATATGATTAACGCTGGCTAATAACTATTTATATCTATTTAAATCCTAGCGACGAACCCGAGCGAAGCGAGGGTGAGCCGCTAGTTATTCATAATATTAAGTTTAGTGTTTCTAATTTTAAATTTATATGCACTATGACACAGGGTGTTGACAGGAAAAAAATAAATAAAATCTTACCCCATAACTGTCTCCATTTAAATTCCAGCTGTCTGTTCATAGCAAGTTCTTTCTTCACTCTATAATGTACTCGTTGAATAACTGAATTTTCAAAGCCTGACAACTTTAGTAAATATGGCTGAGTGCTGGAATAGCCAAAGGGATCAATGGACCAACCGTTTTTTGGTATATAACCTAAATTATCTATAAGCCATTGGTGACCCGTTGTCAATTGCTGTATAATAGAAAGCCAGTGTGAATTAGCTTCGTCATTCATCACCCAACCTCCTGTCACTATTTCAATTTGTCCAGATTTTAATAAACTGTAAAAGATATATTATCATTAATTATTTATCTGACAAGAGAAAAATACTACAACTATATCATTGCTCCTATACCTCTGAAAAGCTGCCTTTTCCTTGTCAGTAGCATCTGAAGACCACCAGAGTGAAAGGTAACTAATTTCTGCCCAAATAAATTTTCTACCTACACCTTCTTTCAGCTTTTCCACCATATTTGTAAATATAGCCTTTGTTTGAGTCTTGTAATAGTTTTCAAATGTCTTAATCCAACCTGTATATTAACATAAATAGTAATAATAAAAATGAAATCCTGACTTTGATCTAGCAGTAAGCTCAATTCTCCAACTGAGACAGCAAGTTTAATTACTTACTTAAACCTTAGTACAATTGTCAACTTTGTTTTGTCAAATGTTTGCAGAAAACTTTTAGACAAGTAATTAAATAATATAGTTATAACTAAAATTTAGTTATATAAAACTTATATACATGTGTTCTTACCGGGATCATTATGTGAGTGAGGCACTATAAAAACTTTTAATTTATTTTTGCTACTCCATTGATCATCTTTGTACTCCACATTCCAGCCTTGTTTCCAAACACCACCATCTGTATCTTCAAACATGATTCTATCATACATTGAAAGCATCTGCAAAAATAATATTGTCAGTAACAGATATAACAACAATAATATTTACTATCTTCACATACTAATTAGTTTATTACATTAATCTTATTAACAAAAATAAAATATATTAGATAGATATTTATTTAAAATATATTTAATTTACATTTTGTGTATAATTATATTATGTGTATAATATTATATTATGTGCGATGATGTTCCCCTGACCGATTCCGGCCACGGCGGCCAATCTCATTGAGACCAGCCAACTGCGCAGGAGATATTATAGTGCACAAGTGTACGCGCAGACACAAGTGCACTCTCTATTCCTGTCACTCTCATACTCCGGTGGGACGACTATTCGACACGACCAGTGAGAGTGAAGGAGCAGGACCGACGGCTTTACGTGCTCTCTGAGGCACTGGAGTGAAACACCGCCAACTTCCCAACTCCGGGCTGTTGTTGAGGCTTAATATACAGAAAGACTCAATAACTAAAGTTGGCCCGACCCGGGACTCGAACCCAGGACCTCCGGGTGTGCAGCCGTACATGCTAGCCACTACACCACCGAGGCAGTTAAATACCATATTATGTGTATTATGAATATACACAAAGTGTAAATCACATACATCTAAAATATCTATCTACAACTCACAACCATCATAGTTACTTTTAACTAATAAAAAACCTAATAATCAGTGGCAGATTTACACATTTGCCATTAGTAGGCTATTAAAATTTTGCCACCCCTATCAACCTCTAAGTATCAGTTCCTAGATTATTTTTAAAATCCAACGTCTTAGTTAAGATTGCACAAGAAATATTTTTGTGTATACTTCTGAGCTAATAAAAGCTCAACCATGTACTACTAATAAGGTGAGATAAAGTAAGCCTTATATACTTATACAATAATGTACTTTCCTGATTTCAGTCATAAATTTTTGCCAGCCATAATTTCTTGAACCAATATTAAGCAAATTGTTGAGATATGTGTCTTAGTGGTGAATCATATTGCATGTTGAATTGCTTGTGTGAACCTAATAACATTTAGGTATGAAACTTTAGGTAACTATGAATCTTTTAATTTCTGTAAGACAAAAAAAAGATTTGGCCCCAAATTTGCCGCCCTTAAAATCTTCCACCATAGGCTCCAGCTTACTGAGCCTGCTGGTAAATCTACCACTGCTAATAATACATAATACAAAAAATATGTAAATAATTATTTTGGAAACATTTCTATTTTACCTGCACATCTGTTTTAGAAGATTTCTGCCATATAGGGCAATAAGACATATTGATTTTCTTATGCATTCTTGGAGGTTCATCACCAACAACTTTAAATTCTCTAATCTTTGGATCTTTGAAAGTGGATTTAGGTCTTTTTTGTGGAGGATGATATTCTTCAGATTGCTCTACAATTTGGTTCATAGCACTCTTGATTTCTCCAACAACAGCATGGTGTTGGTTAAGCTCATTCTCTATGTTGCGGAGCTTGGATTCAAATGATGACCACTTACTCTGTAACATTTGAATAATATAATTAGGTACTTAATAATTATTAGTAACTAAAATATATAAGTTTCATAACTTTATTATTTACATCATCAGGCTCCACCATAGCAGGTTTAATACTTGGAAGTTTGAAACTAAGATCCGTAACTACATATAGAATAAATATAAATGCAATTATGCATGTTGCCCAAAAAAACGCAGACAATCTTCTTAATCTCATCTTATTTAGTTTGTCTGCTGTTACCTAATAAATATAAACTAATAGTTTCTTGACCACATTTTAGTGTTATCTTTGAAAGTTACAATAATTTGTATATTATATTTCACTTTTTTATATTTGTTCCGGTTAATTGGTGTTTTGTTAATGAGACATTTTCTAATCAACAGTTACTGCGTTATCACTTGAAATTCATATTTTTTCTTTTTTACGTCACAGAAATAATGCACTGTTGTTTTTGTCTATTTTCATTTAATTTAGCTGCGGTCTGCGGCTCTTTTGATATTTGCTTACATTTAATGCTTATGTCAATTGTCAAAAGTCAAATTTGTTTTGATTGTCAAATGACAATAAAAGTAGTTCGAAATTCACAAAAATTACTTCTAATTTTTTTGAGCAGTATATCTAAAATTTTAATACAACTTATAAGATTCTTTTCAATTATTAAATTATCATAAATGTTTTTTGAGAGTCCGTATAAAATAGTTCACCGGTAAATATTGTATCCGAACATCAGGTTGTATTGATCTGAAAACATTGCATAAACGTCAACAATTTTAAACGTCAAACTGTTGTGCGTGAAAATGGCGTCAAAGGAATCCCTTGATGTAAGTACAAATATATTTAGATTTGCATTGAACACTTGATGTTTTACTCGTTTGTGTGACTGGCAATTGTTTGCAGCTGAACCTCATATTAAATGTATATCTCTAAACCTTACATAAACTGAGAAAATCGATAAAGACCACGCCCTTCGAAAACGTTACTAAAATTTATCATTAGCGGCTTTTTATAAATTCAAATTCTGAATTAAAATACACATTTATTTATAAACAGGATATAGAATTAGAAATAGTGGCTTATTCATTTAATTAATTAATGTTCTTTATATAAATACACTGAATTTAAAAATGATGTTACTAAAAGAAGTAGACGGTTCTTCTGCTTGTTTGGTAGATTTTAATTTTTCATTAGGTACCTATTTAAAAATTTCAATATCACAAATGGTTAATATTTAAATTCATTACTGTATGTATTGATTTTTAAGGAGCTACAATGTAAGGAATAAAAAGTAATATAGTATTAATTTCAACAACAGAAATAGTTAATTATTCAGATTTTTTACTGTGTGTATTGATTTTTAGGAGCCTTAATATAAGGACAAAAAAGTGATATCAATTTAATCAGATATATGTAGTTGTAGTATGACACTGTTGCATATATGGAATAATTTAATCTAAATACTACTTACCAAAGTTTTACTATGAAATCTAGTTTATTATTAGCAAGATTTTAAAAAGGAATCTTTTTTCTTCAAAATAGAACATTAATAGGTAATTAGGTCATGGTATTTATACTTATGGTTGATGATATTTTTAATCTAATAGGATTTGTATTATGATTTATTAAGTATTATTGTGATATAAATTTTAAAAGGCACAAAAAAATAAGTATAAAATCGTTTTTTATTAAAGTAGACATTCTAGAAGACTGCCAACTTATGCAACAACTCTATATTAATCAATATACAGTCTCAGAATGAACTCTACTCTCAAAATGAATTAGATAATATTGCAGAATATTAACATTTAATTGTAACACATAAGTGAAATCCATAACAATGTTTTTATTTCCATATTATTATTTAGTAAAGAATGTTATATACATTGTGTTATATACATATATGGTGGAGGATGAAGTGTTCATTAATATCTCTGTTCATCTACAGTGATAGAGAGATAAAGCATGCCAGTACTTGAGTTATGACAAAGTTTTAATCCTAAACATTAGGTTATTCTGTTATTTCCATTAGCTTTTATTACATGGAATTGATCCACAATATACTGAAGTCCACTTCAACTAATTATATTACAACATCACTGCTAAGTTAGGCACTGACAATACGAATTATTAATATATTATACATAGTAAAACACATTGAAACATACTCATTGAGTCTTATTTCTTACAACGAGTAGCAACGAAAACTTTGCTGTATGAATATACACAGATACAAACAGATTTTGTTTCAGTACTTTGGCTATATTCAAAAAATTAAAAGCAGTTAAAATATATATTATTAGAGGCTCACCCTCGCTTTGCCCGGATTTGTTGCTAGGTATGTTTTAAATAAATATAAATAGTTATTAGCCAGTGTTAGCCATATACATTTTTTTTTTGTTAATAATATTGACATTAATATTTATACGATACTAATGTCACTCAATTGTTTGCTTTCCCGGAACCTCTCCACTAACACTTAAATTTTATGGTATGGTATTAAAGTTAAAATTGACTTTTAAGTATTATTACGAATCTTTTGTATGGGAGTATAGAAAAGTGTTGTTTTTAAACTTTTTCAGGCAATTTTTAAAATTTTTCTCTCCGTAAGAACCATCCTCGTACTTCAAGGAATATTCTAAAAAAAGAATTAGCGAAATCGGTTCAGCTGCTCTCGAGATTTGCGCTTATCAACACATTCAGCAATTCATTTTTATATTATAGATAGAAAATTTGCTTAGAAGGCACCATTGCTCGCCGAAAGTCTTATGGCCGATTTCATCAACGTCACCTAAGTTTAAGGGATCCGCTAAGCATGTTTAGGGGGCTGTTAGGGGACAGTTTCTGTTTCACCGACAGCTGGGGTCACCTAAATGTTAAAATGCCACCTAAATATAGGTACTAGAAATACGGGCTCTGACGATGGTAAAACGAAATTTAATTTAGGGGCTAGTTTAGGGGAACTTTTAAGCTAGGGATCCCATACGTAGGTGGTAGGTTAGGGAATGTTGGTGAAATCGGGCATTAATTTTTTAGTAGCAAAATAATGTAAAGGACATATTGATTACATAAGTTTTTAAATACGGAATAGACTACACAACAATTCAATAAATCTCGTAACAGATATTCAAACTCATATTGGTAATTTTTTTTTATCCAATACCTTATACCAACTTAGCAAACCGCGTATGCAGCCTTGCACGGTGTTTAACGCAGTTCGATACGGACCACCGCCAATTGACCGCATCCGCATTTGTGTCAGAGGACACAAGCTTGCTCCAAGACGCGTTCATCTTCGCCCAAGGTTATTCCGTTGACATAGGAAAAATACTCACATGAGCGAGTAGGTTGTATTTTATTGCGGACATATCGATCTTAATAATATCTTAACAAATTCTTCGTAATATATAATTTGCAAGTGTCATGGTGTCAGACTGTGACTTTACTCATTAAATGCTAAATATATCCACCAATTTAACCGTTTTCCTGTCCCATGAGATTGCATATCATATAATATAACTTTTACAGCCTTTACGTTACCTTTACGTTAGTACGATAGTTGTGTCAAATAGTAGAATACACAATCGTGTAACGTGTTAGATGAGATATACACGTATTCTAGGTAATATCATAGCCGTTCCCATATAATGATAATAACGTGGCATTAACTGCATAAGTATAAAACATGTGCATATTAAACAAATTACTATTAGATCTGATTACTTCCATCGATTCATGCTGACACATTGGCTTCGTTTGAATAGTAACGACCTTACCAACCCATCCCAATAATGTATGATCCACTTCACACACGCAAGATGAATAGGAGAACTTGAATAACTAGCGAACCTTATTCTTTTATCTATTCTACTATTCATAAGGTTTTTGTTTACATTCATGAATAAAAGTTGTCTGAGGATTCATTGAAAAGCATATTTCAAATTAAAATCGCTATTACAAAAATGAACACTAGGAAAGTCCCGAGACAAAAGTCACTGGATATAAGTAATAAGTGTTTTTTAAAAACAAACTCTAACTTAAGAATGTCGTCTAGTCTATACCTACTTATGGATAGAGCTATTCAAAACTACTAATAATTTATATTAGCGACTCACACTCTGCTCGGGTTCGTCCCTAGTGAAAATTTAGGCTTGTATTTATTTTTAAACTGAATCAAAAATAAAATAAAAAATGTCCAAAAAAAATTTTTTTTTTTTGCGGTGGACCACCCTTATCTCTTAGAGGTATCAAAAATAGTTAACGTCCTATTCTCAGACCTACTGAATATACACACAAAATTTCACAAGTCAGTAAAGCCGTTTCGGAAGAGTTTTGTTACTCTGTGACCCGAGAATTTTATATAATATTGTTATATATATGCATCAGAAAAAATATAGATAAGAGAATAAAATTATCTTTACCCGCCTTACGAATTTCTATTGAGAAAATTGTTTAATTGAAAATAAATCAACGTCTATTATGTACGTTTGAATATTTATAACACTAGCGATCTCCCTCACTCCTCTCGGGTTGTCCCTAGACGCATTTTAAGGGCTAGATAGATTTCTCAGAGAGGAGATATTTTTCCGCTGTAAAAACTATCCTAAATGTGGACCCGGATAACTAGCTATCATCATACCAATTTTCATCAAAATCTGCCCAGTAGTTTTCTCGTGATGCGTTCCCAGACAGAAACACAGACATTTTTTTTAAAACTATAGATTCGGCATCTGTATCGATAGTAATGACTATTTCAATATGATTTTCCAAAAAATATTGAATGTACAGATTCGGCTCAGTTACAATTTTATTATATTTATATGTATAAATAAAATAGGAATTTAAACTTTAAAAAAAAATTAAATAATACATAGATGTACATTAGGATCGTTAGACACATTGTCTCGTACAGGCTAAGGTCCTCTTTGCTGACGCAAGTGATGGTACTTCCCGTAGGATGTCGGGAATGAGAGCGTGTCCTTATAAAACTGTCGTGGGTAGCCACTGGCGACTGAATCCGGTCGACTTTAATGGTCACAATTAATATATAATCTAGGTTTTTTGAACGAATATTATATTACCTATTCTAGAATATTTATGAATTTACG